CTCTCTCTCTCTCTCTCTCTCTCTCTCTCTCTCTCTCTCTCTCTCTCTCTCTCTCTCCGAGACCATCTTGGGACTCTGACCTGAGAGGGCTGGCTCCGCTTCGAGGACCATCTTTCGACAGCGGCCTGTTCTTGGCACGCGCCATTTTCTCCACCCGCCTCTCAGGCTTGACCCCAGTCTGGTATAGCTTCTCCATTTGCTGCTCCTATGGATCCATGCGTCGCTCCACGGGCTGCCTCCTCTCCCCTCGTCAGTGGCCACCATCAATCGCCTACGACGTAATGGTGCGCAGTACAGATTACAGTCGCCGCCCCAGTCCCAGACTCCCAGCCAGTGGGCTCTGTAAGTAAACTCCGTACCGGCTGTACGTCTTTTTTTTTTCTTCTACCAAAGCAGAGACCGGTGGGCATCTTGACCAGTACGAGGTCGTGTATTCACAAAAGTTGGGGGGGGGGGGGGGGGGGGGGGGGGGGGGGGGGGGGGGGGAGAGGTGGGCATGAAGGATCAACATTGTGGCTCTGCAATCATTAGTCTTCTCTCCCTCCTTCTCCCTCCCCCTCGCTCCCTCGCTCCCTCGCTCCCTCTCTCTCTCTCTTTTGCCAAAACTGTCAGAAATGGATGGTTGGTGTGAGTGACTTGGCAGATTGAATGTTACTAGTTCTACCACTGCCTGTCAGTACCACCAGCAAAGTAGCAATAGTAGGGAACCATTAGACCAAATGGCATTGTCCGGATTGGAAAATCCCCATACAGAGCAAAACAGACATGTATAGAATGGCCATATCATATCTGAATAATGGAAAGTGATATTGCCCTGGCCCGTCACTCCCTACCACGCTTCCGGAATGCGGCCCTCAGCCCACCACTGCTGAGCGGCGACCGGAGTATGTCCTTGCTCTGCACCCTGCGTAGCCTGCTCGCAGCCGTTTCTATCCTCAGACCCCATGACTTCTTGGACCTGTATCGAGACGCAGGTTCTGCCGGTGCAGATACGGATACTGATGTCGACGCAGTATTCGTCATCTCTGTACGAGTACTCATACCGGACCGTCTTCCGGAGTACTTCTCCTCTTGGACATCCCGGAATACGTTCGGAGCTGTGGAGACCCTGTCATGGCTAAACCTGAATAGAGATCCCAAAGTGGAAGGAGACAGCTTCCGGGGGGCATGCCGGTCGGGCGGTATTGCCGTCGGCGAAGGCGGCCGGGCGTGCCATTGCTGCGAGAGGCGTTCCTGGGTCGTCATGTTGGAGCGTAGAGAGCATGGACGATGGCCATCTGCGTGCTTGGAGGAACGGCGCGTTGGAGACGATGGACCGGGGCTCCCACGCTCATCACCATCATGCTGGTGAGCAGTATAGTGGACCGTTGGTGTATCGGGATTTCCATCGTCATGGCGAGAACCGTGGTGGCTGTACAGAGTCCCAGTCTGACGACCGCCATGCTGCTGCAAAGATGGCAGTCGCGTACTGCCCGATGATCTTGCAAACGCACCAAGGACATCACGGCTCTTGGCTCGTACGAGGACATGCCAGTCCTTGGCTGGACCCGCTGGCCGTAAAACGGCCATGCTCTGGTACAGACGGGGAGTTTTGATCTCACCTTCAGGCCCCGACGCAGCCTGCCCCGACGCAGCCTGCTTCGGTGTCTGGTCTTCTGTAGAGTTACGTGGTGGTTGTCGGGCAACACGGCGACGGGCCTTGCCTCGCCGAAGCCCATTATCCTTTCCCTTGCAGGGACTTTCGTGGGAACTCTTTGTTGCGACGGTGCTCAAACTATTGCTTCTTCCCAGATGTAGTGATGACCCGTCGCTCTTGTCCAACGTCGCGTGGGCTCGCCCAGGCCTCAGGGGAGACGGCCGAAACTCGGAAAGCATCGTCCTCTTCGATTCCATCGTCCCCAGGTGTCCCTGGCCACCACCGCTACCCGGTCCAGAGCCATTGCCCAGTATCTCGCGTGCAATGGCGGAGCGCCGGTGTTCTTGCCAACTCGTTGGGGTGTCGGAAGATGGCGTGCGTAGCTCTCGGACTGCGTTCATTCGCCTTGGCGGGGTGCCCCATCCGTGCCGGTCTAGGTTGACCTGGGAGGCGCTTCTATCCTGGTCTTGTAGCATAGTCCCGTCAGACCTCGCGGAGCCAGAGGTCTCAATGCATCTCGGTACTGGGACATCCATAGACGGTTCATCGTGAACATCAGTTGCTTGCCCGTCACCGCCCACTCCCCGGTCAGGCGAGTCTGGTCTGTCCCTAGATCCATGTTTCTCATCATCTATCAGGATCGAGCAACTGATGGGCCTTGAATCATGGCCGCCATTGATGCTCTTGGCGGGGGAAACGCTACGCAGGCTTTCCGCCGGCGGTGGGTGGCCCTCAACCCCAGAAAGAAGATTCGGCATGGTTCGTTCTCGAGACGTCAGAGGTCCCCTGGGTAGGCTCTCCCCTAGAGCTTCATCCTCAGCCAGAGAAGCAGCGCTTACGTGGTGGCTCCGAGTCGTGGTAGTGGAATCACCATCAGGTGATACCTCACCGATTGTCAGAGCGGTCAGATCCAGAGACGACAGGAGAAACTTCGTCCCTCCGAGATTGAGCGAGAGCCGGGGGCATGGCTTAGTCGTCACCCACGGACCACTGTCCACCGCGTCCCCAACATCCTCGACCGCATGCAATGGGCGACCCCATGTCTCTGGGTCTCGATCAATACTCGATGGTATATTCGGGATGATGAGAAACTTTTCCCACTTTGGTGTCCAGAACCATGATTTCCTCGGCGCGGGAAGGTCGCATGGACGACCCTCCCTGGTACACAGGGCCTTCCGCACGAGATACATCCTGGCGTATTCCATCGGCGACAGACGCGGTCGGGCTAAGCTAAGCTTGAACTGTCCCCGAGGGCTTGCTAGATTCCTGTAAGGAGAGGCTTCAGTGAGGGCGGACGCGGGATGGAAGGAGTTATGAGGGCGAACGCGGGTCATATCGATATCCGGAGCCCTGTATATCGTCGTCATATGGGGACTGGAAATCTGTGACTTGAGCACAGGCCTTCGCCGACTGGAGGCGGATTGGTCCGATGTGGTGGGCTTCTTGCCGCCTGCATTCTCCTCGTTCGCACGTAGGTCTGATCTTGACCGTACCCTGCGAGCGATTCTATCCCATAGTCTTGGCTGGGGCGTGGCAGATTCTAAGACAGGTGGCAGAGGCGGGACTCGGTCGACGAGATTGTCCTCAGAGCTTCCCCCGCTGTCGAGGCTGTACTACGAGCCACGACGCTGGATGGCTCTGGGGATCAGGAGACCGAGGGAGGCCTTCTGAGCAGGCGTCATGTCGAGATCCCTGGTAAGTGGGTGCTGGTCATATCCCGTGCCTGACAGCCGACTGTCGCATGGAGACGCTGGGTTACCCACGAATGCCCCCAGGTCCGTCTGTGCCCCCAATATTTCCTGTGCTGGGACTCCGTCGAGAAGCAGTGTTGCCATCGGGGAGCTCGGTGTGGCTTGGCAGGATGAATGAGTCGATGAGCGCCGGGTTTCGGGCTTGCTGCCGTCGACAGTTCCGCACCAAGTAGGGGAGCTGCGGGACCAAGTGAGAGACGGGATCCTCGACGTGGCAGACCGTCGACCGCTCTGCCTGCCGCCGGCGGCGCGAAGGATCAAGAAGCAGAGCTCCTCAGATTTTTTGAATTCTTCAGCGTATCGCGTCAAGGCCTCACGAGACTCGTCGTAGCTAGGCACGCCGTACCAGCTGTGAAGTCTCATGCGCATGGCCGGGGAGTGGTTCTTGGAGAATGGTACTTGGCGCATGATGTACTCGTAGATGGAGAAGCGGATGCTTCTGCGGAGGTCAGAGGAGTAAGCTGAAGGGTCGACATCATCCAGATGTCCGAGATGTACTGTGGCCGGGAACAGTGCGTTGAGGAGGGCCATGAGTTCGAGCCTGTCGTCGAGTGAATCGCTCTTGCCTCTTAATCCATCCATAAGGATCTGAAAGGCATCGGTTAGTATGCTGATTGAAACAGTCTCTTCTTCAACATGAGCCTCTTACACAGCCACGGAAGCCCAGGTGAAACCGCTCGTATCGCTTTGAAGCCGTCTCATGCAGTCCCTCGATGATCTGGGCTTGTTCTAGGCTGACCGTGGCAGCTTCCAAAGGATATCGGATGGCAGAAAGGGCGCGGAGGCGATGAATCTCCACGCCGTCGAGAAATGCCAGCGCGCCCAGCGCTTTGCTGAAATCTATCCCACCAGCCTCAGCAGGTCTGAAAACAAAAGTTACAGCCTCTCTGAGTATTCTCCGTGGGTTAGGAGCGTGGTGCATCGCGTGGTCTAGCCGGGACTCTCGAACCCAGTCCGAGCGAAGATTCTGTTCAAGATCTGCATCGTCATCAAATACCTGGAGCGTGTGCTGTGCAGCTTGTGCAAAGCCAACTTGGCCTGGGGAAAAGCCCAAACGCTCTCGGTCAATGAGATGAACGAGGGCATCGTGGCCACGGGTGAGCCACCAGGTATACAGGTAGGTGGTGGATGGCGGCATATCATAATACTCTGATTGTTTATGCGGCTAATAATGCTGAGGAGATGGCCATGTGCAATTTGGGGGAACGGTTGGCATGCTATCTGCAAGGCGAGGTGAGGCCCTGGGCAGCTGGTCATCTCCCCTGGGCCTCAGATGGCAGCCAGCAAGGCTAGCATTTGGGAGGGATCACGTTTCCGAAGATATGGTGGTCAGATGAGGAATCGTTACTATGCACACAATCGATAGTCAAAGAAGAGAGAAATCTATCTGTGTCTGTTAGCTCTCTCACTCTCTCTTTCCTTCTTTTTTCTTTTTTTCTTGTTCCATTTCATTTCTGAGATGAGATACCAAAGTCAGAGGCACTTGTACTCGTATGGTAAGTAAAGATAAAGAAGCTGGGATTCTGCAGTCGTCACCGGCACTAATACTAATAACAGATCTGAGGCCCACACGTCATCGTAATTACGGCACGCGTCGTAGAAGATGAACGAAAGCACAATGACGCGAAACCAGAGGGGGGGGAGGGGGGGGGCTTGGCAATATTCGATGGCAATATCATGGCAATATCATGATATTGATAATGCATGTAATAATATCTGATGGGTAGTGGAGATGACAGATGATACGAAGGGCAAGAAACACGGGAAAGAGGGATCCCCCACATTTCTGAGGCAGAGCAGAAAGTCAGAAGTAGGAAGCAAGAAGTAGGAAGCAGGAAGCAGGAAGAGGAGTGGCATTGGGAGTGAGAGTGAGAGAGTAGATACGGGAAGTAGGAGGAGATGAGGGGAGCCATCAGACCGTCGTTCGCACCTTCCTTTGGTGTCGTATTGACCGACTTTACCGACAGAGGAGGCAAGTGCCATTGTCGTACCTGCCTCACCTTTGTCGCCGTCGTACATGTAAATACAGGTATGAATACTCGTCGTAGCTGAACCGAGTCCACTTAGTACGTATTATTTAATTCGTCAGGAACCATGCACAGTTGCACAGCCACAAGCCAGGCCCAGATGGCCCTAGTACGTACCTCACAAGATCCTCACCTATTCGTACACGTAGAGCCCAAAGGGGATTCTTCGGGCAGTCGGGCGTCTCTCCGTAGCGAGCTGAAGCAGCCTAGAGTGAGCTAGAGTCTAAGGCGCCGCCCCCCCCCTGTAGCTCTTTTCTTCTTCTTTATCTCTCTCTCTCTTTTTTTTTTTTTTTTTTTAAGTGGCCTTTACATGTATAATACTCCGTATGTAGCGTCTCAGTAACGGATATTTGACGCGGTTAGATTCAGGTCCCTCCTCCCCCCAGAGTTTTAGGGTCAATCAAGCTTGTTCTTGTTCTCCATCAGCTTTTGGGGAGGGTTGAGGGGCTGTCTGTCTTTGTGACTTTGATTGCAATCATCTATTCATCTCTTATTTCTTATTGCTGCTTCCTCTCTTCTTATATCATCTCACCTCTGTACTCTCATTCATCGCCACTTAATTTCAGTACTCACAGCTCACCATGACGCGACCGCCTGTGAGGCTGGTCGGCCAGTTGGCCCGCTCAGCCACGCGCCACTCGATACAGGGGACCCAACACCGCGTCCCTTCTTCCACTGCTGCTGCTGCTGCCTCTAAGGGACCGTCTTCATGTCCGCGACGCTTCAACTTTTCCACGCAGTCTGCCAGGCGAACGGGTGAGTCTAAGCCTTGACACATATCTTCACTTTACCTGCGCGTGCTTGTCTGGGTACTGGTTACAGGGGCTGCGCCTCAGGTCTAGGCGCATCCCGATCGCTGCGTGTACGGAATGTGGGCGGGGGTAGTCCCAGACCCGTCCCGAGCTCTTCAGAGAGATGAGATCTGACCCAGGTCCCGATCATGAGTAGCCTGCTATATCCAGATGACGTGTGTGCTAAGATATCACCATCACTGTAGAGCAACGAACGCACAATGGCGGCGGCGCTGGCGGCGGCCAAGGCCCCAAATCTGATGAGCCGTCGATAGGGTACAAGATGCTCGAGTCGGCTGCCACCACTCTTGCCTCAGTCGTCATCCTCGGCGCGGGCTTCTCCTTCGCCGCCTACGCGTACCACAAGGGCTACAAGTTGCTGGTCTTGAAGAAGATGACGCGCGCGTTTGAGCCGGGCGACCCCGTGCTAGAGATGGCCGCCGCCGGCAAGGGCCTGCCCGTCGGGGAGGACGATGACCACTGGGTGGTGCGTCCCGAGCAGGCCACGGTCGAGGCTATCGTGTCCGGTGAACTCACCGGCCACTACTTCCTGATCATGGGCGAGAAGGGCTCGGGCAAGAGCAGCATGCTGATCGAGGGCATGCGCAAGATTGACGGCGACGCCGTCGCCATGTTCGAGGCCCACCCGGACCTGGAAATCTTCCGCCAGCGCCTGGGCAAGGCCCTCGACTACGAGTACCACGAAGACTACATTGGCGGCTACTTCAGCGAGAGGGGTCCCCGCGAGTCGACGGCGCTCCTCGACATCGAGAGGGCCCTCAACAAGCTGGAGAAGGTGGCCATGAGCATGCGCGTCAAGCGCGGCAAGCCCCTCGTCGTCATCATCAACCAGATGCACCTCCTGCGCAAGGAGGACGAGGACGGGCGCGACCTCCTCGCTCTCCTGCAGCAGCGCGCGGAGCAGTGGGCCGCCGCCAATCTCGTCACCATGGTCTTCAACTCGGACGACTACTGGGTCTTTGAGCGGCTCAAGCAGCTGGCCACGCGCATGGAGGTCATCCACGTCACCGACCTGCCCAAGAGCGAGGCCATCTCCGCCCTGTCCAAGTACCGCTCGCGCTACTTCAACGAGAACCTGTCGTCCGACATGCTCGAGGAGATTTACGCACGCGTCGGCGGCCGGGTTAGCTTCCTGAACCGTGTCGCCAAGAGCCGCGACATGCTTGCCACGTGCGAAGCCATCAAGGATATCGAGAAGCGTTGGTTCCTCAACCAGTGCTGGATTCTGGGGATGGAGATGGACGACGATGTCATGGACCAGCAGAAGTGGGCCTCGGCCGCCATGGTTCTGGTCAGGGCCCTCGTCAACAAGGGCGAGGACGAAAAGACGGAGACGTACAACGACGAGGTCGGCCACGTCCTCCCCACCTACCCCTTCCACATTGCCCAAGAGATCATGACGCGCTGTGACTTCATCCGCGACCTCGACAGCCTCAACCTCATCACCATCACCAACGACGCCCAGGTGCGCGCCAGCAACGTACCCATGTATCGCGCCTGGAAGGAGATCTGCGCCATCGACGGTTTCGACGCCAAGCTGGAGGACACGCTGCAGAGGATCGCGGACATTGAGAGTCTCGGCCGCACCAGGGAGTTGGTGGCCAAGGATCTCGTCATGGGAGGCCAGTATGACATTGATCTGAATCGCGGGCGAACCGTTGTCAAATTGAATAAGAATGAGAAGGAGGACGACGACAAATAAGAGCGAGACGTTGTATAGCTGAGAGCGCGCAGGATTCCCTTCCAGGAAGAAAGGAGCATGTCTGTACGAGTACTCGCAAAGAGGAGTTGGGGGAGTATCTCACGTTCATTTTATTTTTTTTATATTCCCTTTACTTTGTTTGGTTTTGTTTCTTCAGGGAGAGAGGAAAGGCTGGATAGATGTATGATTATACTATTACATGTTAGATATCAATATGAATTGAGCTCATGAGACCCAAGGCATCGTTCAAGAAGCCACCGATACAGAGCTGATAGAAATAAGCAGATCCACAGCAGCTCATGACTGCTATAGAGTAAATAAAATAACGAGGCACCAGTCGAAGATGCGTCCCCACCTTTCCTCCTCAGGAAGCAGCCAATCGTCATGGTCCATCACCGGAGGAGAATCTCGCAAAATTGTTCTTCCCTTACCGTATCACCGCCCTAGGCTTGTTTGTGCCTCCCTCCTTGGGATTCCCACCATCTCCCTTCGTCGAGCTGCGTGTGCAAAAGAAACGCTCCTACCCTGCATCGGTAATTCTTTCTCTCAGTCATCGTCGTTCATCAACCCAGGGACCGAGGAATTTACCCTACACCAACTCATACTGTCTGATCGCGTTCGGCCTTACGCGTGACGACGAAGAGAGGAGTCAGCCCACGATCCGGAAGACCCCTCACCCTTTTCTTTTTCCTCCCAGGATAGGCGGCGGAGCGATCCCAACCGATACGCACACGCAGAACACCATGTCGGACGCCGAGGACCGCGCAATGGCGGGCACGAGCAACGACGAGGAGGCTGTCTCTATAGACGCCGACTTTGGCGCGTTGGAAATGTTTGACAGCAACGCGGCCGACGCGCCCTTCTCCTCCTCGGCCGTGGACGAACCGAACGAGAAGAACAAGAAGACGAAGAAGAAGAAGAAGAAGAAGGACGGTGACAGGAAGAAGAAGGCTGGCATTAAGGAGCCCTATGAAGAAGGGGAGCACAAGAGGGCCAAACGTCGCGGGGCCGACCTCGAAGATGACCAGCCTGAGGGCCAGGCGGAAACTGAGGCCGAGGGTACCGATGATGAGGGAGAGGGGGCTGCCAAACGCAAGCGCAGAGCCTCGGACGGCGGTGCCCGCCGCAACAAGAAAAGGAAGGGACGCGACGACCAGGACGGATTCCTGCACAAGGATGGTACCGAGGCCGCCGTAGAGGAGGATGAGGACGACTCCGGCCCCCAAGGCTCCCCGTCAGTCGCCCACGCCCGTAGGCTCAGCCATCCCCGCGAGACGACTACTGCTGGGGAACGCGAAAAGGCCATCTCCAACATGGACGTCGAGAATCTGGCTAGGGAGGCGTGGAACGAGCACGTCAACGGCAACGTCAACAACGCGGCGGCAACAACAACAACAACAACAACAACAACAGAGGCAGCAGCAGCAGCAGCAGCAGCAGCAGAAGAAGAAGAAGAAGAAGAAGAAGAAGAAGAAGAAGAAGAAGAAGAAAGAAGAGAACAACGAGGAGAATCATCGGCAGACGTGGACATGCAGGATGCTGCCACAGCTGTGGAGCAGCAGCTCGCACAAGAAGAGAGTGCCGGCGCCGGCGCTGATGCCGACGCCGAGGCCACGACGATGGCGTCAGGTCGACCTAAACGGTCGACGCGCAAGAAGGCTGCCAAGCCCTCCTTCTTTGAGCAGCCACAGCCAGAGTACCCCGATGAGGGGCTGGAGGGAGACCTCCCCTCCCCCTCGGCCATCTCGCCCAAGCCGCGCAAGAGGACCAAGGCCGCCACCAAGAAGACGACCAAGGCGCGGAGGCGGACGGTGCACGACAGGGACGGCGACGACGACCGGGATCTGAAGCCGGAGGGCGACGAGACGTACGACGACATCAACGACGCGGACGCGCCAAAGGGTAGGAGGAACCGTATGGATGGGTACATCAAGGGACGGTTCACGGAGGAGGAGCTGTTTGGGATCTCAAAGCAGGTCGAGGCGTTTGCCGAGGAGAATGAGCTGTCTCAGCACGATGTCAATGAGGTATGTTTATATATATATCCTTGCTATGCTTCCCCTGTCTTGAGATTGAGAAGAAGAAGAAGAAGAAGAAGAAGAAGGAGAAGGAGGAAGGAGAAGGAGCAAGGTGATTCCGATGCTAACTTCTGACGATATAGATGATCCAAGCACCCGGAGGTACGAGCGCGGGCGAGGCTCACGCGCAGCTCTGGAGCCGACTGTTCGCGGTGTGCCCTCGACGCCACCGACAAAAGGTCATCAACATCACGCGCAAAAAGTTCCACAACTTTGTGGCGCGCGGCACATGGACGGCAGAGCAGGACAAGGAATTGGCCGGGCTGATTGACGTGCACGGGACGGCGTGGTCGAAGATTGCCGGGCTCATCAACCGGCACCCGGAGGATCTGCGCGACCGGTACCGCAACTACATCGTGTGCGGGGCCAACCAGCGCAAGGACACGTGGGACGAGGAGGAGGAGCGGCGGCTGACGCAGTACGTGATCGGGGCGATGGCGGCCATCGACGACCTGCGGGCGATGCAGCCGTCGCGCAAGCTGCTGCAGAAGTCGTACGAGGAGCTCATCGACTGGCAGAACGTCAGCGAGCAGATGGACCGAACGCGCAGCCGGCTGCAGTGCATCACCAAGTGGAAGTCCATGAACCTCAAGACGCACGGAAAGGACAAGCTGGCGTCGTCGCAGCCCGACTCGCAGATGTCGTTCAACCTGGAGAAGGCGCGACGGCAGATCGTGGACATGCCGGTGGCGGAGCGCTACCGGCTCGTGCTGGCGATCCGCGCGGCCGAGCCGGCGACCGAGGCCAAGATTCCGTGGCACCGCCTCAACGACAAGGAGTACCGCAACAAGTGGCACCGCGCCACGCAGATGGTCCTGTGGCACCGCCTCAAGACGACGGTTCCCAACCACGAGAAGCTGTCGGTGCGCGAGTGCGCAAGATACCTGACGGACCAGTACGACCGCACCGACCAGCTGCCCGACGTCGACGATGGCAACTTCAACGTCGCCGACGAGATGCGCTGCATCCAGACGCTCTCCACGCCCACCTCGAGCGCCCGCAAGCCGTCATCCCCGTCGGGGACGGCCAACGCGCGCGCCTCCCGCGCCGGAAAAGGCAACGGCAAGACGCTGAGCAGCGACTACGTCAACCCCTCCGACGACGACGAGGCCACGGCCGCGGCGCCGCAGGAGGACGAGATCGACAAGGCTGCCGCAGCCGCCGCGGCCGCCTCCGCCGCTCCTACGCCTGCCCCAGCCGCAGATGATGAGGAGGAGATGCAGATCGACCCCGCGCTCATGGGTGAGCCCGCCCCCCCCGCGGGAGCAGACGAGGACACGACCGATACTGCCGCCGCCGCCGCCGCCGTTGCTGCTGCTGCTGCTGCTGCTGCTGCTGCTGCCACCGCTGCCCCCATCTTCGTCAAGAAGCCCACCTCCGCCACCCCGGTCAGGAAGCCACCGGCCGCGACGTACGGAAAGAAGAGGGGTTCCGCCGCCAAGAAGAGGTCTTCGGCCACGATGCTGTCTCAGGATCCCATCGAGGACGACGACGACGACGACGCGCCGACGGCACAGGGTGAGAACGGTGCCGCCGGTGCGGACAACCAGCCACTACCTCCCACTTCCACCAGGAAGAGGAACAGGTTCCCCGACCCCCCGGCCTTTGGGGGGTCTACGAAGACTGAGCCTACGGATGACGTACCGGCTGATTCTAGCGATATGGAGGATATGGATGATTTGCCTGCTCAGGTGGCTTAGGTTTAGGCTCAGTCAATCATGTAATTTCCTTTTTCTTCATTTCTCTCTCCGATTTTTTGTTTCTCTTGATGGGGGGAGGGGGGGAGAGACCCGTTTCATTTTGTTATGTGTTTTATTGTTTTGCGGACCTTTTCTTCTTCTCCTTCTCCTCATTCTTTACCTTGTGCTATGCTGGGAAGGGAAAATGAAATGACCTTCGAGTGTGAGATGTGGAGTTGCTGTTGGTATATCAGAGTGTCTAGTATTCTTATTACATTGGGACTGGGAAGTTATTCCCGTTTATTCGATACGGATGAGATATCCAGAGTATGGATGAGATGAAAGAAAAGAAAAGCAAAAAAAAATCTCTCTTTTTTTATAAAAATAAAAAAAATAAAAACCAGAGAAAAGTTATTACTCTACTACTAGGCTGAACAATAAATACCGTTGGATGGTCTTGGCCGTGATAAGATGTCATGCAAGGTATCGGGGGGTTTCACATGGTGGCTTGCATATAATATACATGTCCGCTTTTCTTCTCTTTTCTTTTTCTCGCGCTTCTCTAACGGCTTGTGGTATCATCTCCGATTCTCGCTCTTTTATCTGGAATTTTCGTTCTTGTTTTCCTTTTAGCTTTCTTCTTCTTTTCTTTTCTTCGTCAGCGGTATGTAGCCGGCGAGATATCTCATCCTACGATGACGGTAGCAGAGTGGAAATACGAAGAGACGAAGAGAGGGTCAAGACGCAAGTGTAACAAGTCATGCCGCGCATGAGTAGAAGTCCGAAATCCGATGTGTAGAGCGGACTCGAGCAAGGTCAGCTAGTAATCACGAATGAAGCCACGAAAGTGGATTCATCCATCCCCCGCCCTCCTCTCCCCCCCAAGGTCCTCCCCCCTTGAGGTTATGGGGTGAGATATTAGATTCGCGACAAGGGACAAGGGGTTCGGGGGTCTAGATACGAGTCCATCGCCGCGGGATACCGCCAATGTCCCTCCTCGTTGGATGTAGTTTTGGCATGAGAGCTTGTCTTCTCCCAATATCGGTTGCTGGTCTACAGGTCTCGTCAGATTTCGTCAGACACAAGTACATGAAGAGACATGTCATGTCGGTCACGGGTTGCAGCGGCGGAGCCAGTGCACGGGGTGGTATTGCTACTCGCATAGTATGCTCACGTTGATGTAATGATGCTACGCAACGCAGAGTGACCAGTTGGGAGTTATTGCTCATCATCACAAGCCGGTAATAGTCGGTAATGTATACATACTCCTCTAGTATTATGAGTAGTCGTGAGACTCCAGCTCTACGTTCCTGACGTCGGTAATGGGCCATGGGCCGTGGGCTAGAATGGGAGGTTGATTAGAGGAGATAGATGAAGGGATCAAGGTAAGAAATAGATCGGATACTTGCATGTAAAACCTACAATACCACCCGTGAGAAAAAAAACATGTATAAAAAAAGAGACCTCTGACTATGGAGCGGTGGTCCCTCTGAGGCCAATCCTGGCCCCTGCTCTTCTCCGATCCCCGATACCCTGGTCACTTCAACTGCTCTCGACTCTTGCGCGCACACTCCTCACCTCAACCCGCTGCGTACTTTTCTTCTTCTTCTTCTTCTCCGTCGCATGCATCGCTATGGAGTATCGAAGGTCTCAATCCCGGCAGGACGGGGCGTTCGGGTAACCCATCCAACGTTGCAATGTCAGGCTCGATACCCTTGACGTAGTACTCGTATTAATACTCTCACATCTCCTCCCTCCCCCTCTCCCTCACTCTCCGTCGCCCGTCATGACGTCTGATTCGAGCTGTCAGACTTGATGATGACAGAACCGACATTGCAGCGACAGACCGTTGCCGTCGTTGGACTTGGTATGCACAGAACACCCTCTGGGTTCCCTCGGGGTTCCCTTCTGGGGATTATATTTCCTGCCCGAAAACAGTGAAGCTGATGCGCCACCATCATCAGGTGCCATGGGCATCGTCGCAGTGAAGAATCTCGTCGAGGAGGGATTCGACGTCACCGGTTTCGAGCGCAGCCCCTATGTTGGTGGGCTGTGGCATTATACAGAAGACAAGAACACTCTGAGTGTATTACCTAGTATGTCTCTCTGTCATGTTGTATTCTCTCTCCTTCTCTCTCTCTCCCTCTCTCCCTCTCTCTCTCTACATATATATACATACCCATCCATATATATATCATATATACATATACTAACCAATATATGCTGACCAATTCATCAAGACACCATTGCCAACGTCTCCATCGACAGAGTAGGCAATACATCTAATCCAATCCTCTCCACCTGTATATCCCATCTAACCCACATCCAGGGCTCTTACACAGACTACCCGTTCCCTCCAGGTAAGAGAGAGGAGGCACGCTCTGTTACCCCTCAAATCTGCTGACCTACCCCCAGGAACGCCGTCGTACTGCTCAGCCAAAGAGATCGAGCGTTACTTGGAGAACTACGTCGACCGCTTCGACCTACGCAGCCGTTTCCGCCTCAGCACGGCCGTGAAGGCCGTCACGTATCAGGATGATGCGGCCAGGTGGCGTCTCGAATTCTTCGCCACCGAGGGGGAGGGGGGTTCTCCGTCATCCGTCTACTTTGACCGGGTCGTCATGGCCACGGGGCCGCATGCCGAAGCTGTCGTACCGGAGCTGCAGAACGCACAGCACTTCTCCGGCCAGATGATTCACGCCCGAGCCTTCAAGACGTACGCCCTCCACACTTCCTCTTCTCCTGTGCTGCCGCCATGATGTCGTAGCTGATCGGAACGAGACACCAGACCGGAAGACTACAAGGATAAACACGTCGTCCTCGTCGGACTAGGCAACTCGTCGAGCGACATTGCCGACGCTCTCTGCCACGTAGCCGCCAGCGTGTCCATATCCCACCACCGCGGAGCCATCGTCGTACGTACCGGACCACACGCAAAACCCGCACGCCTCCCGCTGACAACACCCCTCAGCTCCCCCGGCATCACAGGGGACTGCCGATAAGCCGGCTGGTGACGCAGCGCCGCATCAAGACCCAGGACCTCCTGCAGCGGTACCTGCCGGGGACCCTCGACCGCGCCGTCAGCAAGAGCTCCCGGAAGATGATGAGCGACGCCTTCGGCCACCCCGACCCGGCCTGGCGTCTCGACCCGGCCCCGTCCCTGGCGATCTCACCGCCCATCGTATCCGACACCATCGTGCCGCAGATGCGCTCCGGCGCCGTGCAGTCCGTCGCGGCCATCGACCGCATATCGGGTCCCTCCGAGCTGACCCTCGCGGACGGGACGGCCGTCCGAGCCGAGGCGGTGATATTCTGCACCGGCTACCGAAACGGCTACGCCATGCTAGACCGCCGGTTCGACCCGGCGGCCAGCCAGCCCGAGGCGTGGACCGCGGCCCCGGGATCCAAGGGCCGTCCGCTGCTCAGGCTGTACCAGAACGTCTTCTCGCTCCACAAGCCAGACTCGCTCGCCTTCCTGGGGACCGCCTGGTTCGCCACGGGGGCCTTCTGCATCGCCGACCTGGCCAGCATGTGCATAGCGCAGGTCTGGGCGGGCAGGTCGCCCCTCCCGTCGCCGCCGGATATGGAGCGCTGGGCTGACGCGCAGCAGGAGAGGTTGTGTGCTCTGGCGCGGAGGGGGACGCCTGTTCCTGCCGCCGTCCCGCAGCTCGAGTGGCTCACCTGGGCGGACGAGACTATGGGGGCCGGGGTGATTGGCAGGTTAGGATGGGGCTGTAAGGGCTGGTCGTTCTGGTGGAGGGATCGCGCTATGTGGTCTATGCTCATGGATGGGGTGCTCACCTCGTCCATGTGGAGGTTGTTCGACGAGGGCAAGAGGAAGCCGTGGGATGGGGCGAGAGAAACCATCATTGCGGCCAATGCCGAGGCAGATTCTGCCAGGGAAGGACGGGTCGGCTCTGTCTGATGGAAGCGGCTGCATGGCTATGTAGTAGCCTATAGGGTATGGGTACGCGATCTGTCTCGGTGATGGGAAGAAGCCATGATGGCTTCTGTATACGATGACTTCCACACTGAGTCCAAGACTTGTATATAGACCATCTGGAGAGGTAGGAGGAGGAGACGTCTGAGCTGGAATAGATGATGTAGAAAAGACAGGAGTTGTCGTGATGCTGTGTACCGTGTCCAAGTTGGTCGGTTGCTGGCTCTTGCAGGTCCCTGCCCTCTTAAAGACAGCTTTACATGTGTCTGACCCACCTTTGACTGCGACAGACTAGCATCACCATGCTGCGATTCCCGACATCGCGGCAACCCTTGATTCTCTGGCCTGTTTTCTCTGCTTCTCCATTTCATCGTTGCATCTCAAGGGGGGATAGCATAGAAGGATGGACAGCATACCACGACCAGAGGACCAGACGACCGCGCTGATGGCCGTCGCGGTGGCTCTGATGGCCGTGGCCTTGACAACCCGTCTGTTGAGCGGCCGGACCGCCTCGACGACGGGCGCCGTCACCACGCCGCCACCGATGCCGGGATACTGGGTTCCGTACGTCGGACACTCACTGCACGTCAGCTTCCAAGACGCCGGACGGTTCCTGGCCCGTCTCGCTGGGGCCCACCCCGGCGGTGCGGTGTCCCTCCAGCTGATGGGTCAGCAGCACACCTTCGTCCACGACCGGGACATGGCCAGGGCGCTCGACCCTTCTTCCGGAGATGGCAGGTGGTTTGCAGAGCGCCTGGTGGTGTCCGGCTTTGGCCTGCTGTCCTCTTACAAGTCTGCACTGCGGCAGGTGCTGGAGCTGGCCGTCGACACCTCGGACCTTGCCAGCGCCGCTACGCATCACCTCGTCGCCAGCATCGCCGACCTGGTCAGCTTCAACAGCTACGCCGACCAGATGGAATGGGAGAGGCTGGCGGACGCGGACACCGTGGGATCCGACGGCGGGGACGAGACGCACGTCGAGGCCAATCTGATGGATCTTGTCGGCGCATTCACCGCGCAGTCTGTCACCTCGGCCCTCCTGGGGACCAACTTTGCGACAAACTTCCCCGAGTTCCCCGGGATCCTGGCCCGCATAGACTCTGGGATGTCTGCCCGGTCATCCTGGTCGCAGAAGGCCCGTTCCGCCAGGCGGCAGGGGCAGTGGTGCCTGTACGAGTTCCACGACGCGCTCGACAAGCACCTCGCCGGTCAAGGGGTGGACCCGGGTGTCAGGTGGCAGGACATGGATGACGTGAGCGGCCTGATCAGGGAGAGGGCTATCCTGTATCGCAATCTGGGCCTGTCCCTGAGCGCCCGTGCGGCCATCGACCTGGCCGTGGCGTGGGAGCTCAGCTCGCAGGTCGGCATGCTGACGTCGTGGATGGCATTCGAGCTGTACAGGGACCTCACGCTCCTGGCGCAGTTGCGTGCCGAGACGGGCGACTACGTGCGCTGTGTGCAGCCGGAGAACGGGTTCGGCACGGGCGTGTGGATTGCCCCGTCCGTCAGTATCGACACCGACAGTCTGGTCGCTCGCTGCCTGCTGCTCAGGTCTGCCTATGTTGAGACGGTGCGGTTGTATACCTGCACGGGCTCTAGCATGCGCTTGAAGGAGGACGTCACCGTTCCCAGGGTGGACAAGGGCTCGTACCTCCTCAGGCAAGGGACGTATGTTGACACGGCGCAGGAGATGTACAATCTCGACGAGCGACGGTTTGCCAGCCCGGACGAGTGGCAGGGAGGGAGGCATATCAAGGATGGGGCCGTGGATATGGACGCTGCCACCCCATATGGTGAGTCCGCACGTCACCTTCTCTCCTCCACGACTGGTACTGACACTGGTCAGGGCATGTTCACTCCATGGCGGGTCACAGCAGAGACGCTGTCATGCGTATAGTCCTGGTAACTACGGCTCTGCTCGTGTCAATGTACGACGTCGTGCCGCCCAAGGGGGAACATTGGAAGGGCGCCAAGACAGAGAGGAGGATTGCCGTGCGGCATCCGGCTAATAAGGTACGCGTGTGGATCAAGAGACGGGAGCTGGAGCAGGAGTGAGGTAAGGCGGTACGATCTAGTCAACGGAGGAAGACATATGCTGCATTCTTTCTTGAAAGAAGAATTTTTTTTTTTAAACAAGAGACTTCTCAAATAAACCGAGCAAGAAAAGAACAACAATCACAGTCGTATTGTCAGGGTAGAAAAGTGCTGGTAAAAAGTGAAGGCTTTGGTGATCTTATTCCCTTATCAGATGGAAAGGCCTGAACTTGATGCCTTAGGCCATCGATTGCATCATCGGCCCTGGACGGCTTACGGTTACGGCTACGGCACGCACACCATATCAGCCGGCTATTCCTCATATTTGCTGTCGACAGCTTCCAAGTCAAGAAATTTGACGTCCAAGGGGAAATTCCCTCATCGGACTTTTCTCTCTTTCCCTTCTCCTTCTCTCTTCTCTTCTTCTTCGTCTCTGTCTCCTTTCCTCTCTCCACGTCAATCCCATCTCGGATATAGACTAGAGTACCGAACCTTGCATCTCCGAACGCACATAACCCCTCCATAACGATGCTGCTGTGGAGCGGGCACACGCGACTAACATGATTCTACGATTGCCGTGCCGTTCTTCGGTGCAGTGCTCGATACAAAGCTCCTCCAGAACCAGTTACAGCTGCAGACTTTCCAATGCTCAGTTGCAACCACCATGGATGCCGCGCAGCCTAAAGCCGGGCATCCAGCAGCAGCAGCAGCAGCAGCAGCAGCAGCAGCAGCAGCCATTCCGGACCACAACACTGTTCTACCGTGAACAGCAGCAGAACAAGTCTCCGACGTCGAGCAGCGGCAGCATCCCGAAACCGGCAGCAGAGGCGGACAAGACCCCCAAGCCTGCGACGACGACATCCGTGGCGGCGACGGCAGCCTCGACCACATCAAAGGATAAGACGACGACGGAGCAGCGCAAGGCCGACTGGGCCATCATGAAGGAGATGTCGCGGTACCTGTGGCCCAAGGACGACCTAGGGACCAAGTTCCGGGTGGGACTGGCGGTGTCGCTCCTGGTGGGCGGCAAGCTGCTCAACATCCAGGTGCCCTTCTACTTCAAGAGCATCGTCGACTCGATGAACATTGACGTGGCGGTCATGGGCGGGGCGATACCGGCGGTGGCGGGCAGCATGATCCTGGCGTACGGCGCGGCACGGATAGGCGCGACGGTGTTCCAGGAGCTGCGCAACGCCGTGTTCGCGTCGGTGGCGCAGGACGCGATCCGGCGGGTGGCGCGCAACGTGTTCGAGCACCTGCTCCGGCTGGACCTCAACTTCCACCTGTCGAAACAGACGGGCGGGCTGACGCGGGCGCTGGACCGTGGGACAAAGGGCATCAGCTTCCTCCTGACCAGCATGGTGTTCCACATACTCCCGACGGCGCTCGAGATCAGCCTGGTGTGCGGGATCCTGACGTACCAGTACGGGGCGCAGTTTGCGGCTGTGACGGCGCTCACCATGGTGGGGTACACGGCCTTCACCATCTGGACGACGGCATGGCGCACCCGGTTCCGGCGGCAGGCCAACGCGGCCGACAACAAGGCGTCGACGGTGTCGGTCGACTCGCTCATCAACTACGAGGCCGTCAAGTACTTCAACAACGAGAAGTTCGAGGTGAGGCGGTACGACGAGGCGCTGCAGTCGTACGAGAAGAGCTCCATCAAGGTGGCGACGTCGCTGGCCATGCTCAACAGCGGCCAGAACCTCATCTTCTCGTCGGCCCTGACGGGCATCATGTACCTGGCGGCCAACGGCGTGGCGGCTGGCACGCTGACGGTGGGCGACCTGGTCATGGTCAATCAGCTCGTCTTCCAGCTGTCGGTGCCGCTCAACTTCCTGGGGTCCGTGTACCGCGAGCTGCGCCAGTCGCTCCTCGACATGGAGACGCTCTTCAACCTGCAAAAGGTCAACGTCAGCATCACCGACAAACCTGACGCGAAGCCGCTGGTCCTGGCCCGCGGCGGCGGCGAGATCCGCTTCGAAAATGTCAACTTTGGCTACCACCCGGGCCGGTCCATCCTCAATAACCTGAGCCTGACCATCCCGGCGGGCAAGAAGGTGGCCGTGGTGGGACCGAGCGGGTGCGGCAAGTCGACGCTGCTCCGCCTCCTGTTCCGCTCCTACGACGTGCAGTCCGGCCGCATCACCATCGACGGCCAGGACATCCGCGACGTCCAGGTCGAGACGCTCCGCCGCGCCATTGGCGTCGTGCCTCAGGACACGCCCCTCTTCAACGACACCATAGAGCACAACATCCGCTACGGCCGCATCGACGCCTCGCGCGAAGACGTCGTCGCCGCCGCCCAGCGCGCCCGCATCCACGACAGCATCTCCCGCTTCCCCGACGGCTACGACACAAAGGTTGGCGAGCGCGGCATGATGATCTCAGGCGGGGAGAAGCAGCGTCTCGCCGTCAGCCGCGTCCTCCTCAAGGACCCCCAGCTCCTCTTCTTCGACGAGGCCACCTCCGCCCTCGACACACACACCGAGCAGGCCATCATGGTCAACATCAACAGCATCCTCCGCGAGAAGGGCCGCACCAGCGTCTTCGTCGCCCACAGGCTGCGCACCATCTTCGACGCAGACCTCATCATCGTCCTCAAGGACGGCACCGTTGCCGAGTCCGGGACGCATAGGGAGCTGATTGACCGGAATGGTGTTTATGCCGAGCTATGGAGTGGTATGTATTCTCTTTCTTTCCTCGTTTCCGCCTTTTCCTTTTCTTGTGCTTTCCTCCTGTCTAACACCTTGCAGTTCAAGAGACGCTGTTCAACCAAGATGGAGCGGAAAATAAAGAAGAGGCGAGATAGTGCCCGAAGAAATCTAAGATGCCTAAATGATTTACTTTTTATCTATATATATATATATATATATATATACAAGGGAATAAGAGCCATTGCTATGCCAACTGTTCAAGCAGCCCTTTGCTACTCATCTAGTATGCGTTCCTTCTGCTCAACACGCTACTTGACACTTTCTATCTGACACTCATATGCTATTCATTTTATCTACACTATTGGAAACTGACCTGAGAACTAGCGCTCCGTATATACCTCGTTTCATGTTCCACCTGAAATGAACAAGCCGTCTATTCCAGAGGCTGCTAGATGACTGATGGTGAGACTCATTACCTGAAGTGTAGAAACTCACGAGGGTATTGAAAAGAACAGAAGACAGCAGAAAAAAAGAGAGAGATAGAGACATGACCATCATTGACAAGTCTACACCTGAGGTATCACAGGAGCAGCGGAAGACCGCCTTCTCTCCTTATCCTTACGCTCAGCGTCGAGAGACTCGGCAAACTTGGACCTGATGCGAATCTCGGGACCCTTCCAGTAGATGACGTAGACGGGGACAAGGACGACGGCGGCGATGCAGCCCAGGATGGTACTGGCGTATTGGGTCGTCATGTCCCCGGCCCAGCTGCCGTAGAGAGGGGTGGCGTACAGGGACGAGATACCGGCCAGGAAGTCTCGGGCGAAGCCGTTGCCGCCAGTGGCGCTGGCAGAGTAGACGCCGTAGGCTAAGGAATCATCAATGTTAGCAGTGACGATACCCGGGTTAATCCCCCCCAAGGAGCGGTGTCTTGTGTGGAATTGTGGGATGGTGGTGACGTGGAAACTCACCAGCAATCATGTAGTCAATGGTGGACATGTAGATGGCGTAATTGGCGACGGCGATGAGGAAAGAGAAGACCATGGGGCCGATCCAGTGGGACTCGGGGGGACCCATGGAGGTCCAGGCGAAGCCGAACAGACCGATTGTCTCGAGCGGGGCGAGCCACAGAAGCCACTTGAGTCTGAACTCGGGGGCCATGCTGTCAGCGCCCGCGGTCCTGATCCTGTGCTGGTCACGGCGGATCCAGGGGACGTAGGAGGCGTAGGCGACTGCGTAGCCGATGTTGATGGGGATGAAGGCCCAGGCGATTTGGAGGACGCCGAACCCCCACTTCTGGTAGACGGGCTTGTAGCCCTCCTGGAAGGTGAAGATGAGGGCGTCGGAGAAGCCGGAGAGCAGGGAGCAGCTGAGGACGATGGGCTCGCGGAGGAACATCTCAAAGGGCCTGATCCAGGTGATGCCGAACTCGTGGAGGGAGATGCGCGGCCTCTTGACCTCGTTGGGACCGTAGACGTTGTCCTCCTCGCCCGAACTGCGGCGGCGCTTGGCCTCGCGGTCCATGATTATGGTAGACCGGGACTCTGGCATGAACAGGTGGATGGCCTGGACGGTCAGGCCAAAGATGAGCTGGATCCAAAAGTTCCAGTGCCACGAGAGGAACTTCTGAATGGGGCCGCCGACCACGGGACCGATGGAGGTGCCCACGACGGAAGACATGACGACGTAGGCCACGGCCCACTGCTGGTCGTCGGGGCCGTACAGGTCGGCCACCATGCCAAGGGTCACGCTGCCGCCGGCGGAGCTGAGACCGCCCAGGGACCGGGCGACGAGGATGGTGCCGATGTTGGGGGCCAGGGCGGCGAGGATCTGCCAGACGTTGACGAAGAAGAGCGAGATCTGCAGGACCCTCCACCGGCCAAACTCCTCGCTCCAGGGGGCCCAGAGCTCGCACCCGAAGGCGTACAGAATGAGGAAGAGGCACTGTCCCAGGCGGGCCATGGTCTCGCTGACGCCGAAAGCCTCGGTCAGGGGCGTCACGACGTTGGGGTACACGCTCGTGTTGAAGTTCATCGAGATCTGCACCAGAACGATGGACGTGAGAAGCATCCACTTCTTCCACGTCGGCCAGGCGTAGCCCAGAATGCCCTCACACTCATCCTCGCTGATTATGCGCTTGCCATCGTCCGTGTACTGCGGCAGCGGGGCCGGGGCCGAGCTCAGACTGGGCTTATGGTGGTGGTGGGGAACGCCCTCGACTTCTTCCCCGGGGCCGTGGCTGGTGACTAGGCGTCCTTGGCTTCCGCGTCTCTCGGACCGGTCCTTCTTCTCCGGGTCGGCCGTGGTGGGAGGTGTACTCCGGTTGGACGAGCTGGATGGAGACGAGAGTACCCTCGAGGATTTCTCGTCGGTCGTCTCGTTAACCATTTGGGACGACGAGGGAGGATATCTGGTAGGTGAGGTGGCGTTGTAAGACCTGGGGGTTTCTAGGCAAGTTCTTTCTCCCCCAAGGGTTGTCTATGTAAAAAGAAGACAGAAGGAGAGAGAGGGTGTATGGAGAGAGACAGAATGGAGGGGATGTGGGGAGTCTTATCAAGACCGGGTGTCAAGAGGGGATGAGATACAGGAATGGGAAGAGTTCTACTGGAAAGGGAAGAGTGCCAGTAACTTGTACGCAAACGCAGGAGAGAGAAAAAAAGATTCGAATCGACGGCCATTGGCAATACGGAGTACCCGCCGTAGAGAGAGAGTGTACAAGGAAAAGGAGGAGGGGATGTGTTATGATGTATCCCATCTGCAGGGACCCAGTGTTTTTCCCTGATGGTGTTTCCGTCCAAGAGAAAGACCAACCGTCCATATCTTCTTTCCCCTCTAGGGGACAGCGTAACCGGCACTGCCGTCAGATGAGTTGAGAGGGGTGGTGGTTGAACGTCATAGCTGGTCTGTCATGTTGGACCGCGGCCAGCGGCCGGCCTGCGAGTGCTAGCCACAGATGCAATCAATATAATACGCCGCTTTCCACCAACAGCCCACACCTTGACGATCGTGACCCACGAGGTTATCCTCGAGAAGGGTAAAAGTGCGATCGAGATGGTGGGTTGACATCATCCTCGGCAGCCCGGGACTAACATGTACATATACTATCGAACCCGGAGGATGCATCCCCTGGCCCCGGCTCACTCTGGGTTATACATACACTCCTCGGGAACTAGTCCTAATGGGGTGATTATTTGGTCCTATGCACCTCTCGTTGAGAGAGTGATCTTGCACTCCTGAGCTTGGAAATGAAGGAGGAGAGAAAGAGGTTCCTGGATATATCAGCAATGGATCTTCATGGCTTCGGGTGCAACGACTTTGGGGACCCACGAATGCGTCCATTACAGGACTACCACGTGGTCTCTCTTCCACCTACGAGTACGTATGCGCTCGAGCTCTATGTGAGGAGATGTGCTCTGGGAGATTGGTGGATGCTTACCTTGTCCATCGACTTCTTATCGACCCGGTCTCTCCTTCTCAGCTGGCATGACCGATCGAAGGCCGTGGATACACGCTGACCGATTGCGATGAGTCCTTCGGTCTCTCTCGGGGGTCTCGGGAAACAAGCTCAGGCGTCGACGATCTTTCAACGTTCACGGAGTGGCACTGAGTGGAACGATAGCAGAGGATATATCGGAGGGTGATGGGCGACTGACAGGGCGGATATAGAGTATAAAATTGGAGAGAAACACCGGGGCTGCTGCTCTCATGACTGAAGGCGAGTTTGATCCTTGCCCCTTTCTCTGTTCTCGACGTCCTGTCTCACCCTTTCCGGCTCTTGCCATACGGACCGAAGATGAAATCCGGCTCTCCATGTCATGTAGTGTACACGAGTACGAGTATGGGGCACTTACTTGGATGTATGCATTATTCCCCGTTCTTTTCCGCACACTCCACGTTTTCCTCTTTTTATTTTTATTTTCTCTGTGATCGAGGACGGTCTCCAGCCATCGAGATCTAATCACTCTACACTCGGTATCTCCTAGATGGGTAATCCGGAGGGGGGGGTCATGTATTTGTTCTGGCTTCCTTGGCGAAAACGGCTGTTGTCTTGCCCAGGATCTGTTGTCTTACGAAGGGACGGGCTCAGAATTCAATTCAGCTTTTGGCATCCGGTCACGGCCCAAGCAGGGTATCTGTAGCTAGACGGACTTGCATAGTAGAGAAGAAATCAAAGGATGTCCCCTCTGTAGGACTTTCCCCGTGGATTTGACGTCTAAACGTACATGTCATGATGTGTATTTCGATGTGTCACACAATTTTCCCGATGGAGCCGCCACTGAATGACGTCACAGTAGACGCCATTGCTCCACCTCGGCTTTTCGGAAGGTACATTGTTCCGGTCCGAGAAGAGTCGAGGGCAGCAACATCAGGTTTAATCAAGGCACCAGTGACTAGCATTATTACATAATACGATATAATCTCTCGAACAGAACAACAACATCAAGTCACGCTGTTGCTGGCATCTCTCTCTCTCTCTTGACCGCGAAGAGTTTACTCGGTTCGATACACCGGATCATCCCACGTAGCTCAGACGCACGTCCAACCGAGGCCATCCCCTGCTCGAGTTCAAGGATGGATCAAGGTAGCCGGCAGTGGCGTTTCTCGGGGGCTCCACTGCCAAGGTCTTAGCAGAAGAGCCTCACGGCCGTATCTCGCTCGTCCTTGATCCCCACCCGGTATCGTAAAGTCGTCCTTGCAAAAGCCAGTATCCGTACTATGAATGTAACGTCAAATCGAAAAAGGGTGTATCAACTGATGATGCTGGCACGTAAGCACGATACCACCGTATGACGCTGTGTGGGGGGGGGGGGGGGGAGTCGGGTCCAGAGTATCGGCACATCAGAACGTCAGATGACGCATTCTCGAGCAATCACACCGTGCTTCTCTCAACAGCCGACTTCCAAACCAACACCCTACCCTTGATCAACGCTCGGTAGCGGCGACTTTCTCTGGCAGACAGCCGCCGTCGGATTCGTATGGCAACCATGCGCAGTGGTACCAAAGACGCTGGTCCAAGGCTGTGTGGGTCCTGGGGGAGAGCAACCCGTATTCTGATACTGGTAGTACTCTGCTAGTGTCACGGATAATGTGCCCTGAGCCTTGATTGTTTTAGACTCGTTATTTTAACTCCGATCCGAACAAGTTTAATTCGAATATTCTATGCCATTGTTTCGTAAGAGTATTTTCCCAAGCAAAGTAGATTGAAAAATTCACCGTCTTCGCCCTTCTTCTTGGCTTGATTCCCTACCGCGACGCTTGACCTCAGGTAGGTTTTCCTGACCTCCGGCACCGAACTCGGGGATAGAACTCTCGCCTCAGGCGACTACATGTACATATACACTACATGTGACATGTGCTTACAGGGGTATAGACCCTTGGATCCACACACTCGCAGGATTCTTCTTTCCTCTTTCGTCCACCATCATCACTGCATCCATCTCTCCCCTCGACATTGAGGAAGACGAAAATGCTGGAGAGGGCCCGTCACTCCAGCCCCAGGGTAAGGGGACGAAACGAGGTACGTGCTGGCCCCGAGACGTCGAGACATGAGTGCTTGTGGTCATCGGTTGTCGACGGTTGATCTCAGGCGATTGGGATCTTGTATCATGCTCCCCGTTCTGTGTTTTCGAGATAGTGTGCCGATAAACCTCGTCACCGGCATCCCAGCCGTCGACGAGGTCGTGGGCAAGATCGTCGTCAGCCTACTACAGGCGGCCCCTCAAGCTCATCGGCGGGGGATAACTGGATTTTCTTGACAGCTAAGCAAAACAACGTTCCCTTGGACGAGGGGAGAGCAACTTTGCCGATGTAGCCATGGCCAATACTAGCAGTCAGCCATATGCGGAAACATCGACTCGCTGGCTGCGTCTTCACGCGGCGTTACAGGTCAGCAATCGTGTGTATCCTACGGTGCCTCAATGAAGCAAGCACTAGCCAACCTGTAACGCAATAGGAGGTGGACGTAGGGGGGAAAAGTACATGGAAGTAATACTTGTGCGCGGGGTGGGCTTCAACCCTCTTTCTTTCTCTCCAGAATCGTCAACTATCACTGTCAACCTCGATAACGAAGAACTCAACCATGTTCATCATCGTGCAGCAGCCCTCTTATCCCTGTCTGCCTTTGCTGACACTTCTGACTTTCATATTCGCATCGGACGTTGGCGTGTAGATCTCGTCACATAGGTCTCAGAAGGTGAGCCTTGAATATGTAGAGCAGAGGCGGTGGTGATTGTCGTCGGATGAGCTAGAGTACAAGACAAGAGACAGACGGGGAGACGGAATTGGAATAAAAAGAGGAGTACACAAGTAAAAAGAGAGAGATGAGGCAAGATGATCTGTGCAAAGAGAGTTGGCAATATGAGATGTACGGATTACAGAAGAGAGAAATTCAAGAGAGAAAATATAGATAAAAGAGTAGAGCCAGGTTCCCAAGGTGTTAAAAAAGTGGGTACGACAGAAACCCCCATGGAAGGTGCCATCTCCCCGCTTTCCTCTGCGCAGTGGCATTATTACAGTGCAGTGCGTCACTGGTTTGGAAGCTGCCTTCCCCAACCATTTCTTATTCATCTCCGACTCGCCGACGCTCACGCGACAGCTTCTCACGACCATCACCAGCCTACCATGAAGCTGACGATTGTCGTGTCCTCGCAGCACCACTAGTCTGCATCCTCTCGCTTTCTCTCTCCCGTCGGAATTCTCGTAAAAGAAAACCACCTCCACCGTCCATCATGTTGAGCAAGAAACAGACGTCTGTCCTGTCGGTCCGCTGTTGCCACCCGTTGACTTGTCTGCGAGTATCACCGAGGGCCCCGCAGCCGTTGATCGGAACCCACGTCACCACCGGTACAGCAACCACCAGCACGGCGACGGCATCCTCACAATGCTGCCGTCGTCGGTGGTACGCGACGGCGCATCACGGGAGCGACAATTCCAAAGACCGTCACCGCCACAGCCATAGCCACAGCCACAATCACCATCAGCGCCCTCATAATCACCACCATCGGGACACGGCTCCCCCTCCTGCCTGGCCCAAGACGTCCAACCCTTCACCCTACGAAATATTTGCCATCGGCCGGTCCGAACCGTACCCGAAGCGACGCTTCTACCAGCTCGTCAAACTATACCACCCGGACCTGTCGCACGCCCCCGTGGCCGCCCTGGTGCCTCCGGACGTCCGCATCGAGCGCTACCGCCTCGTCGTCGCGGCCAACATCCTGCTCAGCGACCCGGTCAAACGCCGCGCCTACGACGTCTCCGGCGCCGGCTGGGGCGCAGGTGAGGGTGGGACGAGACAGTCGGCAGAGGAGGCCCGCGCCGCTGACCGTTCCTGGAGGCAGAGCCCCGGGAATGCATCCCGCAACGCTACCTGGGAGGACTGGGAGCAGTGGTACGAGGCCCGCGGAGAGGGCCGGGCTGGGCGTGCCCGCCAGGAGACGCAGTATATGCCCAACGGCGTGTTTGCCATGCTGCTCGCCATGTCGTGTCTGATCGGCGCCATGCTGCAGAGCCAGCGTGCCGGTGCCAGCGGCTCCCACTACCTCGAGGTGAGGGACCAGAATGACCAGGCTGTCGGGCAGGAGATGCGTCGCAGCTCGATGGCCCTGGCGGGGCTGTCAAAAGATGAGAGGGTCGATCGGTTCCTGCGCGACCGTGAAAATGTCGCTTTCCACTTCCACACAAGCAAGTACGAAGAAGACTCGTTACCGCCGCCGCCGTCCTCGCCGCCGGCCAAGATTGACAATGTGGGGGAGTGATGGCAGGCAGGAAGAAGCCTCGAGAGCATGGATATACAAGCCTCAAGTTCCTCAAGTCAAATATGCACAACACTCTCGCCTATGCCATTCCCGTATATATACACGTTTCCAGGCGTAAATAGCTTCCCTTCTCGTGACTCATCGTTGATTCATCTCATCATACAAGGCATTACCCACGCATCGCGCAAACTCGTCATCTGTCTATGTGATCTGGCCCCCTCCCCCTCTTCAGATACGTTTCTTACTATTACTTGGCATTGAAGTCTTCCGCAATTCTCGTAGCGCCACTACCGCTGGCTTCTCCTTGGCCTTCTTGGTCGGCCGTCTTCTTCTCGATGGCACTGTCCGGCATGGGCGACGGCGTGTCGGCCTCGTCTCTGCTCTTGATAAAGTCTTGGTCGTCGTCGACCGAGCTTCCGAGTCGGAGGTTGATGACGTTGTCGATACGGAGTCGGGGCGGTCCTGAGTCAGCTTCAAGCCCATTCTTCTGGGGGCCAGCTGTTGGTGTGTTATTAGCCTTAATCTTCCAGTAGAGATGCCGAGAGGAGAAACCAGAAGGGAACAGAAAAAAAACAACAACAAGACCTACACCAAACCAGGGAAATTAATTTGACTATCACGGGACCCCAGACGGTCATGGCGATGATCTGACCATAGGACCAACGACTGGGATCAAAGCTCTCATCCGTCATGAGACGAGCGAGGGAGATGGCGTACAGCACGTTGACGATGACGTACATGGCCTCAAGGGTGTGCCAAAATATCCTCCTGAACTTGACCCAGTGGGGCTGAAACCTGCCCTCGGGGCCGCGGCCGACGCGAAAGGAACCGAAGCGGGCGTGGCGGGTACGCGTGTGCTTGCGCAGCTCCCAGGCGACGTGGTCGACGATGAGGACGACGATTGCGATGGTGTCGAGGACGAGGAAGACGAGCTTGTACAGCATAGGGTGGGGGAAGAAGCCGATGCGGAGGCCGTCGACGGACCCGACGGAGGAGCAGTAGGTGCGCGGGCTCGGGTTCCCGCCGCAGGCGTCGATGGGGGTCTGCGAGCGGAACAGGCGGAAGACGTCGTCAAAGTAGATGCTCTGCGAGGCGGCGATGATGGCGAGGACGTACTCCATCAGGAAGCCCAGGAAGGTGTGGGTGCTGCGGATGCCCTCGTTGTGCAGGCAGATCTGCACGAGGAACATGGGCAGGATGCCGTTCTGGCTCACGTGGAAGGCGATGGCGGCGTTGACGACGATCTCATCCCAGAAGGAGCCCTCCTGCGACCGCACGACTATGGCGAGCACCGACGCGATCTGCAACGCGAAGACGAACCAGCACTGCGCCTCCTGGAACTCGACCAGCGTCGTGGCCACGGCCACGCTCGTGCGCGACAACGCCGAAGAGTCGGACCACGTCATCATGGTGCGGATGCGGTTGAGCCTATTCTTTCCCCCACTACTCTCCCTCCTCCTCCTCCTCCTCCTCCTCTGATCGTCGTTCCCCTGTGTCGCACGCACGTACATGTTGAACATCTTTACAAAGAGGTATAGCGTTATGGCGAAGCACACCTGCATCACGTACGAGACTAGGACCTAAGCGTTACGTCAGTCATGCATGGAAGACAAAGGAAAGTTTTTTTTTTTTTTTTTTTTTTTGCGATGAAGAAAAGAAAAAAAAAAACCCCTTACACCTGGCCCGAAAATGTCGTCGTTGATCTTAGCCTCGAGCGCCGGACAGAAACCACTGAGTGAATCAAAGACCAGCTCAGGGTTAGACGCGTTGACGGCCGACCCGGTGACGGACGCGTCGCAGGGGGAACCGAGCTCATCGTTTGCGCAGGCGTCCTGCTCGCACGCGACGATGGACTCCAGCACGGTCCTCTGGTCGAAGTCCGCGAGGTCCACGCCGCCCCCGCCCATGACGACACTGGCGTTGCGCTCCGCCTCGTCCGTCACCGTGTACCGGCCCACCTCGCCGGTCCAGTGCACGATGGCCGCCAGCACGGCGCAGTTGTAAAAGGTCTCGACGTCGCCGAACATGGTGCTCGCGTCGCTGCAGGCCCGCGGGCAGTCAGCCGCCGTGTCGCCGTCGACCATGCACCCCGTCTCTATGAGGGAGACCTGCTGCCCGCCATCGACACCGTCTTCTATCAGCGCGCCGAATGAGACGACGTCATCCCCGAATGTCCCAGAGTCCCGCCAGTGCAGGATTGTGGGCAGGTCGTCGAACGCGAAGAAGTCACCTATGGTGCCGCCCATCCTGCGGCGGATGATGACGCTGAGCGGTGGAGGAGATGATGATACCCTCTCCGCCATGATGAGGGAGTCATTCTCCATGAGCAGTCGGGAGAAGGGAGAAAAGGGCAGTTTTTTATTTTTCCTCTGCCCCCAACCTTTCTCTCTCGGTGGGAGGTGAGAAGTTGAGGTTGGGCGTGGCGGGACGACCGTCACCGATTTTTGTGGTTCGTCGCTCATTGACAGGGGGGGGGAGAGGGGCTCGAGACTGGACGCCAAGGCCGACGAATCTCTTGGTCTCTTTCGTGTCTTGGGATGACTTCATTAGTCTCTCCACATTGTTTCACTCGGGATTGATCGCATGTACCCATACGGCTACAACAGATGCAGAATCCCTTCCGTGTACGTTGCACAGGTTGATGATACATTTCGCCAAGTCGTAGCCCGCATGACAGGTGCATGCATGAGAATCAAGATCGTCGACAAAGGTTTTACAAAACAATCGACAGTACGACGGCCTCGGAGGAAATCGATCAAGGATACGATGATACAGAGAAACGGTCACATGGAATATCTGCAGAAGAGAAGTCGTGCGGTGATGCGAAAGCCAAGTTAGACTACGTACCCATCGTACGCACACCGGACACAAGAATAGATGCGCTCGAAAAGGGAAGGGAAAACGGCCTAGGAAGGTGTGATGACGAGACGGGTGAGTGATACTGGCTAACCATAATCAGACACCAACCCCTACATCAAGCGTGACTGCATGCGCCTACTTCTTTGTATCTGCCTTGGCGAGATCTGCCATCTCCGCATCGTCTGCATCGGGTGCGCCCTCCAATACACCAGGTTCGTGACCGATGATGGCATTGAACTCCTGTTGATGGTGATTAGTCTAGGTCCATCTACGTACAAGCCTGGACGGAAGTGGAAACTTGTGTGTGAAGAGTTGACATACCGGACCCTGGAACTGCTTCCCGTACACAAGCCAAAACGCTGAGCAGCATATGACAAAGATGCCCACAACAGCGGTGACGAAGTTCATCGAGTTGCCGCTGACGGGAACTGTCGTGGGAAAACAAAACAGCTGCAAGTGCTTTCTGTTAGGATCTCCTTTGTTCTTGTCGTCTCAGCCATGGGGCGGCCTTGCTGCATCCACTTACAACAGATGTAAACACGACATAGACGGCGGCGACGGTGTTGAGCAGATACCCATAGCGGCCCAGTCTCAAGAGACCGGGATCGACCTGATTCTGCTCGATGAGATGTCTCCCTCTAACCAGAACGACAATGACGGGAAACACGTAGGACACGTTGAGGAAGATGGTGCAGCTGGCCGAATAGGCGCTAAAGGCAACAGTCGGACCTAGATAAAGGAGGCCGAAGCAGACGTTGAAGACGAAGCAGAGGCCGAGAGCTCGGACGGGGACGTTGAAGGTGGGTGAAAGATGGGAGAAGCTAGGAAGCTGCATGTTAATAGATGGAAAACATGCCATGCCATATGGGGGGATTTAAAGGGAGAGAGAGAGGAGAGAGAGAGAGAGAGAGAGAGAGAGAAGCCCATGCCAGACTTCCTCGGGGCACTTACTACTTGGGAAATACAATCCCCCCATCACGAGCCATAGACCAGATCAGTCGGCTGGAACTCGTCAGGCACCCAACGGTCCCGTTAACGAAGCACACGGCAAAGACAAGGCTGAGGACAGCAGAAGCCACCCGGCTCCCGGTGGCCTGATAGAGGAGTTCTGTGATGGGCATGTCGGTCTGGGTGCTGAGGATGGAGGCCGGGTCGACGAGGCAGAAGAGTATGATGATGATGAAGGCGATACCGCTTCCCGGTATGTCAGCATATGGCCATCAGGAGAGACGGGGAGCTTACGTGATACCGCCGACGGCAACCGCGTACAGTATAGCCCGAGGCGCATCGACAGACGCCCTGGGCATCTCCTCGGTCATGTGCAGGCAGGCGTCGAAGCCGCCGAGGGACAGGGCTGGCTGCAGAAGGCCCAGCATCCAGGACATGCCATCCGGCCAGCCGGTCTCGTTTTCGAAGCCGGAGAAGACGTACCGCGCGTCTGTCTTTTCCGAGGTGGACAGCAGGACGACGCCGACGACGACGGCACTCACTATAGACCAATACACTACGCACCATCTTGGTGAGCGTTGTGACAGATGCTAGAGAAGTGAAGAAGGGAGGAAGGAGACCTACACGCGCAGTTATTCCACCGACCGAGAATTGAATATCCCCAGATGTTGAGGCACATCCCGAACATAAGTATAGCGAGGTAAATCAGGTACGTCTCCCATGCGTGGATGGTAAACGCACCGTCCGATGCTATGCTGGCAGCCGCAACGACGAATTTCGCTTCAAGAGCATCAGCTACCGATGTGATGGATGCGACGACGACCGACTCGAATGAGAAGAAAGGAAGAACTCACATGCAAAGAAGCACGAGGCTGTAACCAGGGTCAACCATCCCACAATGTTGACCCAGCCAACCCAGAAGCTCTGCACGGCGCTGTCAGCGCTGACCTGCTCGGATCCAACCCCCGCGCCCGGGAAGTAAGATGCTTACGAGGACCCTCCTATATCTGTCACTGCAGAGCGCATAGACAAAGTGATACTGTCCTCCTGCCGTGGGCCAGATGGCGGCCATCTCACCCAGGCTGGCGCCCAGGGCAAAGTTGCACATGATGCAGAATATGAAGCCGTAGAGCAGGCATGTTGAGCCGCCAGAGGGCAAGACGAGACCTATCGACCCGGCGAGGCCAATCCATGTACTACCGAGGCGAAGGGGTGTCTGGCAGTCAGTCTATGAAACGCCCAAGGATGGGATCAAGGGGGGAGGGGGAAAGTAAGGGAGGGGAGGGCAGCGTATGTACTTGAGAATGGCAAATGTCATGGCCACCATGGTCAGCCTGGACATGCGCTGCTGGAGGTGGCCCTCGGCAGCATCCTTGGTTTCGGCCCCCATTCTATGCGGCTGTATCCGGATTTCCACGGTAGATGTCGGTTGTGGGGAGATGGTGAGATATGGAAAGCACTCGGTATCACCGAGGAGGGTCAGATATCAAATACCAAGCTCAGCTCTCTGCCATATATGCATACGGCAGAGGATGGGGGGAGAGCTGGACGCCACGGAGATTCGGAACGTTGGCCTCTCCCAGATGACTACTTCCCCATCATTATCATCCGGATCGTTATCTCATCCGCTGCTGCTCAGTCCCAGTTTACTATGCATGCTGAGGTACGTCAGGCACTGACAAATGAACAACCCCCGGTCTCAAACTGATGATTCCATCGAGTGTCCTTATCACGGGTAGTCGGCCATCTGATAAGACGGATACGACCTTGCATGATGCATGCGCCGTAGCAACTCCACACTATGAGGCTGTTTTGTCGGGGGTTTCGAAGCAGATAAGAAGTTGAGAAGCAAACAAGAAAGAAAACGAAGACGACGGCCTTGCAAGAAACTCTGCAAGTATATGTGAGGGTACGCGGCCCAGCCCGTGGGGTCCATGCGAATACGTGGGTTATGGACGGCAGGGAAAGCTGGTTCCACATGAAGCGGTGTAACCCCCCTTGGCCTGGAATTGACGACAATGAATATAGTAGGGGAAACCGGATGTCCTCTTTCTCCCTATTACAGAATGGACAGAAGAAGTGGCAGCGAATCGTGGGTCGACTGTGATGGTGGCGAAGAGCCGCGACACCCAAAAACGGGGGGGGGGGGGGGGGGGGGAAGTATCGAGACATGCGTCATATCCTGCCCAAAGCTCCGAGCATGTATGTATTCAGCATAGCCCGTTGTACGTCCAACGGAACGTTCAACTCAATGACCATACATATCTTCCCTCTTGAGTTTTTGAGGCCTCGACACACCAGCATGGATCGAATCGTGCGTGTTGGTGTAGATCCAGTCCGAGCCTGGATGGCTCGACTTTCCAAGCCAGCGTCAGCAAGACCATCGCGTTGATTGAGCAAGCAGCAGCCGACAGCGTTCAGATGCTCGGATTCCCCCAAGTATGGATCTGCCGGTACCCATGGCAAGCATCCGAGAATGCTTCATCTCCACCCTTTAAAAACGTCCTCCTCGAGACTCACACGGTGAAACGTCCGATGGTCAGGCAGATGCGGACGTCATGGGTGCTCAGGAACGGCGACTTGGTCCGCATGGCCAGCTGACCGGCAGAGGATCGAGATAACCGACCCGGAGAAGATTGCCTGGTGATGAGACGGTCTGACAGGTAATGATCCGTTGACCAAGCAAAGATGGTAGGTGCCTGCTGTGTTATTACCCAGTACTACCGATGGACCTCAGCCACGAGCCCATGACCGCGATGGACAGGTCAGACGCCAGGCGGTGCAGATCTCAGCACGGTATTACACATGTAGGTCACGATCTTCACCCAACCGTACTTAGATGGGCTATACAAGCCAGGGCAACGATGCAAGAATGTAGAAATCTTCATCCTCGATGAGTAAGAAAGAGATGGGTGAACGGGTGAAGGGATCCCATATTTGCTCGCCCTGTTGATCACAGTAGCTACCTCTTGCTCTTCAGTCTATAATGTCAGTCTATATTACCATGCAACAACAGGATTCCCAACGAAGCCCTAGATCTCCTCGGCGTATCGGGCCCAGAAGTCGCTGATATGCGCAGCCACCTGCGGCACCTCGGACCTGACGACGCCGTGGTCCGCACCTCGGATCACACGAACATTCGTCAAGCCATGCTCCCCGAGCTCTCTGGCGCTTGACAGCACGTCCGTCTCCCCCAAGACAGCCAGCGTCGCGACCCCCGTAGCAGCAGCCTTGTCGAACTGGTCGTGGGCATCCATGACGCCCGCGTCGCGGAAGGCAGCCACCACAGAGGCCGAGTGGCCCCTGTGCTCGAGCGCCTGCCACTCACGCACAGCCTCGGCCACGACCTCGCCCCTGGACACGCGGTCCTTCCAGTCGGCCGGGACGACGCGCTCGCCACCCTCGAGGAAGCCGACGATGAAGCGCTCCGCTGCAGGCTCGTCGGCACAGTCCAGGCTTACATGGGCCCTCTGCTCGGCCGACAGCAGGCTCGAGCTGATCATGCCCGCCGGCGCGACGAGGGTCAGGCTCCTGACCCGCTGGGCGTTACCGGCCGTGTACCCCACCGACAGCGCCGCGCCCATCGAGTACCCTACCAGATGGGCCGAGGGCCACTCCAGGCGGTCGAGCAGGGCGTCGATGAGCCCGTGGAACAGGGCCGGGTCGTGAGGCAGGACGGGCGTGTCGCTCAGACCGTGGCCCCACAGGTCGACCAGCACCAGCTCCGCACCCGGGTGCGTCTTGCGCAGCTCGGCGGCGAGAGGGTACATCCCCAGAGCGGGCGTCTGGATGCCGTGGACGAAGAGGACGCGGCCGGCCGAGGGCTGGGCGGTCGACGCGGTCAGACGGTAGTAGGCCGCCTTGCCATGGCCCGTCTCCAGGAAATCTGCAGGCGGGAGGAGCTTTCCAAAGACGTCGGTGAAGGCGGCCTCGGTGGGACCCGGGATAGAAGCCTGGGCTGTGCTCGGTGCGGCGCCGGGTCGAGGGAGGACGATGTCTGAGGTCATGATTGTTGGTATCAATTGAGTCTTAGTAATCAGTATCGGCGGATGAGGGGGCGGGGAGGGTGGATGTCAATTGGCGATGACGGCATCCGCCAAACTATGTTTCTCATCCATCCTCTCGCATGTAATATTATTACGTGTGATATTATTATATCACCACTCCCCCTTCACAGCCACTACCACTATTGTTATCCATCAGACCATGACGATGGTGACGATGGTGACGACGACCACTCAACAACCGCAATGGAAAAAAAATGAAAAGAAAAGAAGAGCCCGATAGGATATCAAACCCTCCGAGCTTTGAATATACAGATATTCTGCCTGGATCCGTGATGCTCGTCAACGCCCTTTTCCTCGCCGTGCAAGCAAGCGGATCTACAAAAGTCCGTCTACAGCGGCTGAATATGCTATAATAGATTATAATATCTCGTGTTGACTGGTACCTGGCAAGGAAACCCGCTATTATCGTCGCCGCTATCCTTGGTTCTGCCTCCGGCGGCCCTACCGGTGTGTGTGTGGGGGCTGGCCTCGCTACGCTCGAATGCGGATGTCCCTATAGCATGTAATATATTAACATAGTATCATTAACTGATTATCACGTAGTGTTTTTTTTTTCTATCCTAAATTCGTCTATTTATTAACTTATCTATTTAGAAAAAGCAGGAAAAAGTGGAGAAAATTATCTTACCATCTCAATGCTTCTTCCCTTTAAACGGCGGCTCTGCTCCTATTAACGACCAAATCCGCGGCAGTCGCAACCATTGTCGAGTGCTTGGCACTTGCCGCCYSTCATATCCTCCCCCCCCCCCCCCCCCCCCCYCCCCCACTTAGCCGACTGAAGCCGACGTCATGACGCTTCCCCATCTTTGTTTTCCCTGCCAATTTCCGAACATCTCTCTCTCTCTCTCTCTCGTCCTCTCCATCATTCCACTTCTTCTTCTTCTTCTTCTTTTTGCTCTTGCTCTTCCTCACTCCAACATTTGTCGTTCGAGTCCGAAAGCGAGACCTCCGAACACCGTCAACAATGCCGCCTCGACTCCCCATCTCCTGTTCCGTCGTGGCTCCCAAGCCGACAAGGCCGACGACCTTCTTCCTCCGTCGCCGTCTCTACTCGTCAGACTCGTCGTCGGCTGCTCCGCTCGTCACGGTGACCAACCTGGCCTCCCCTAACTCGGGCCACATTCGCGTCCTGGAGCTCAACCGTCCGGACGCGCGCAACGCCATCTCGCGTTCGCTCCTGGCCTCCCTCCGCGCCGAGATCGATGACGTGCGCGACCAGTATGGCCCTCGGGGGGAGGAGCTCCCTACCCACCCTGATCTCGGCCCGACGCGTGCACTCATCGTAGCAAGCGCCGTCGACACGTGCTTCTGCGCAGGTGCCGACCTCAAGGAGCGTCGAACCTTTACCGAGAAGGAGTGAGTTCCTCTCCGTCCAAAGGGTGGAGGAGGGCGACCGCCGTGACTGACAGGTCCCCAGGACCGCCAATTTCCTCTCCGACCTCCGCAGCACGTTCACTGCCCTCTCCGACCTCCCCATCCCCACCATCAGCGCTATATCCTCCATCGCCCTCGGCGGCGGCCTGGAGCTCGCCCTCTCGACTCACTTCCGCGTCCTCAGCTCCAACGCCGCCGTCGGCCTCCCCGAGACCAGGCTGGGCATCATCCCCGGCGCCGGCGGCACCCACCGCCTCCCTGCCCTCATCGGTCTCTCCCGCGCCCGCGACCTCATCCTGACCGGCCGTCGCGTCTCCGCCCCGGAGGCTTACTTCCTAGGCATCGCCGACCGTCTCGTCGAGGTCACCGTCGACCCGGCACACCAGAAGGAGGGTGAGACCAGCAAGACCAACGAGGAGCTGGCAGCCGAGGAGCTTTCCCTCTCCCGCCGCTACGCCTTGGCCGAGGCTGTCCGCTTCGCTCAGGAGATCTGCGAGGGCGGTCCCGTCGCCACCAGGGCTGCCCTACAGGCCGTCGCCTGGGCCCGCGAGGAGAAGGAGAATGAAATGTATCAGCGTGTCGTGGACACCGACGACAGGAACGAAGCTCTCAACGCTTTTGCCGAGAAGAGGAAGCCTGTCTTTAAGGGGAGGTGAATGAAGGGGAGGTAAGAATAAAGGATTCGTGTATCATCATGGTGTATCATATTTTTCTTTGGAAACTATTCATTTCTTTTCAATGGCGTGTTTTTCTCTTAAAAAAAATTGTTAGTTCCGGGGGAGAGTATGACCCTCCAAGAGGAGGGGGGGGACGGGGTAATCCGGCAGTGATGGAAGGATACAACTCAAGTAGGTCCTTGTAAAGAAGTCTCTTGAGACATCGTCGTGAGATGTCACTATAGAGGAAGGAGATGGAGAGGAAGAGGAAGAGGATCAAGGGCAAGTAGTCACGGTAACAATGGCAGTATCACTAGCAGCGTCAATATTAAGGCCAAATATCAATACCAATACCGGTAGTCACAGTATCAATTTTTCATCTATACGCCCAAGATCGACCGGTCAAGGGCGCATCATCACAAGAGACGGATAGTCACACCACCTAGTAGCAACAGGTGACTACGACGACCGCGTCCTATGAATGAATAAAAAAAGGTAATACGTATCATATCAACAATAACTTGGGTATCCTCAGTTCCGTATCTTGTCGTTTCCTTCTTCATCTCCTTCTTCAACTCCTCCTTCATCTCCTCCTTCATCTCCTTCTTCGTTTCTCTTCTTTTTTTCTCAATGTATAAGTGAATGAATGAATGTCGTTGGATAAGACGCCCTTTTTTTTTATATAAAAAAATATTCCAAACGACAAGGCTACTCATACGGCTTGTCACCAGGCGGACCGAATCGGTATACGTTGCCTGTCGACGACGGCGATTGAGGATCAGTCAACAACACCCTGAAGCGTACTTTCTTGGCCGGCGAGGGCCATGACCTAGACACCTCCCTCCGCCCGTCCTTGCCGTCCACCTCGGCGTTACCGTTAGACTTCAGAGACCTCTTCTTGGGAGAGGTGGGGAGGTTCAGCGGCTAGTTGGCAGCCCCAGGCACATCGCCACTGCTGACGGTCTCTGCCTCTGCCGGCGGGGCAGGCCCGTCGGCGTCGTTTGACGTCATGTCCGCATCCGCATCTGCGTCTGACGAGTCTGCCGCCAGAGCTGGTACTGGCACGGGTACATCGCGTGTCGGCACGTCCACCCACTCCTCCTTGTCCTCGTCGCGGACGTAGCACAGATAGTACGGCTCGCCGCCCTTGCTCAGGTCGTGCAGCACCTTGGCCGTGTCCGTCTCCACGCGCACTGTGGCGTCGTTGTAGCAACGCCAGATGTCGTTGGCAAAGTCGCGGATCCACACCCAGTAGTGCCCGGCCTGGAGGTTGCCGCTGTGGCAGATGACCGCCTCCAGACGATATGCGTGCTTCTGAGAGCTGCTGAAGTGCTCTCTACGCGCCGATTCCAGTTCGGAAATCTCCTCATCAATCATGCGCTGGACCGTCTCCTCTGCCTGCACCACATCCTCGGGTCCTTGAAGCGGCTGGCTCGATGCTCCTCCGTCTTCTGCTTCGGTGCGGCCCCTCGGCGACACGAGGATAAAGTCGTCCTCTATGGTCCCGTCAAAGCTCCAATCCTCCTCCTCCTCCTCCTCCTCCTCCTCCTCTGGCGTAGCATCCTGCTGCGGATCAACCGCCATGGCATCGCCATCGATTCCTGCCCAGCTGTTGCCCTTGCTCTCACCAGCTGCAACCCCTCGCATCGCCCGGCTCATCTTCTCGACTAGGCGCCCGCTACCGGAAAACGCCTTGCCATCCAGCTGGCTCTGCCTGATGTCAGCCAGGCGAGTGGTCACGGTCCAGTCCTCCTTGCGGCGTTGGAATTCGGCAGAGTCGTGCGGCGCGTCCATATAGTGGTCCAGGTACAGTGTCTCTGGTATGACGACAGGATTGGCATTCTTCCGCCCTGTGGAGAGAGTCCTCTGGATGAGGACGTGCAGCACGGGAGGCAGGCTGCGGATCGCGGTGTACCGCGACAGCTGGCTGTCCTCGAGGACCTGCTGGTCAAAGTTGCGGCCCAGAGCCTCGTACAGGGAGCACTCCTGTCCCGGAGCGGGGAACGCCGTGATGGACCGGTCGTAGCTGACCTCGCGCTGATACGTCTTCTCGCCAAACTTCTTGGTGTAGTTGACCGTCGTGACGAAAAAGGTTTCCATGATCTTCTCAGACTGGATTCCCGTATCGGCATCCACGTCGGTGGGCTTGATGGCTGCCTGCAGAAGACTGATGATCTTTCCCATGACCTCTTCTACGTCCTGCTGCTCCGTTCCGGAGGAGCGCTTCTGGTGTTCCAATGCCCGCAGGACCTTCGCATCCACTGTGTCAGGATCTGGATCCTCTGCCTTGGCACCGTCGACGTCCTCCATGACGATATCGGGTATCAGGGAGCCTCCGGCCGTCTTCCGAGGCGCAGCCTCCTGCGTCTTCCCATCGAGCCCCTTGATTTGCTCGTCACCGGCCCCGACCAAGGTTGCAGAGCTTGCACGGCTATGGGCCTCCTGATCCTCAGACTTGGACGCTGACACCTGTGACATCTCGACGTCGCTGGGCTGCTCCGAAGCCGGCGTGGTTGGCACGTCGGGCTGCCTCTCCGGCAGAGAGGGAGGCCGAGAGACTGCGGCCGTAGATGCAGGCCTAGCGTCCTCGAGCAGTGCATGCGTCGAAAGGAGAGCTGCGTTCGCAAGCCTCTGGGATGGTCGCGTCGCAACCTTGCTGGACGTGTGGAGGTTGTGGAAGAGCTCGCCCAGTTCCTTGACGAAAGCCTGTGCCACGACGGCCTCGCCACGGTCCAGCTGCATCCTGTTTCCTCCTAGTCGACGCTCCGCGATGCTATCGTCAGAAAGGTCAAGGTTGTACTCTCCGTAATTCGTAGCAATGTCGCGCACAGCTTTGACCGTGTAGAGATACTGGAGAAGACTGTTGAGGTAGCACGTGTTGCCGATGTTGTGCAGGCCGACCGGCAGGCTCAGGTCGCTGGCGTCCTCGCCCTTCGGCGCCGAGTCGTCGGCAGAAGGCTCCCGCGCCTCGTGCTGACTCCGCAACTCGAAGGCGGCTGCCTTGAGCTCGTAGTCCTGCGTATTCTCCGCCAACGACTCCAGAGCTTGCACGTACAGCACACTCTCGTCACGATTCTTGGCGGCCTGCAGCTTGAGCACGGCCGAGTTGTACCAGTCGTCCCTGGACCGACCGGGTCCGTCGCCGCCCAGGATGGCCTTGGACGTCTCGGTTGACATCTTGACATCCGCCTCCATTATCAGGCTTGTCTGGTAGTTGTCATCCGTCGTGTTTTGAGCAATCATGATCAGCATGGCTCTAGCGGTGCTGGCGTCGGCCGGCGACTCGACGAGTTTCCCCCGGAAGGCATCGATCACCTTTTCGGCAGAGTACGTGTTAGGCGGGTTCAGGCCGAGGTATAGGAGGGCCTGGTTGAGAAGGCCGTCCTCGTCTGTGGTTCCCTGCACAGGCAGTTGACTGTCGAACACCGAGGACTGCATCATGGCAAAGTCGGAAAGCTGCTCGTCGTTGCCGTCGTTGGCAACCGCCATGAGGGCATCGACCATCTCCCGCCTCTTGCCAGGAAGGAGATCCCACTGACGGAAGTAAGCATTGACGACGATCTCACGGGGCTGGTTGGGCAAGATCCCCAGGAGCCTGTATCGTTCAATGTTGACCAGGGCGTTTCCGCTGATGTTGGGCACCTCTTTGCACCCCAGGTCCGTGTGCAGAGCACTACTTACGAAGCTTGGGTTCTCCCCGACCTGACCCATCTTGTGAATCAGGGACTGGACCTCATTGCGCACGTCTTCGATATAAGCACGATACGTTCCAATCTGGGTGATGCCGTTCTCGTCCGTAGAAGGTGGGGGAGGCATGGGAGTGAATGTGCCTTCGTCAACGCCGTCTTGCATATCGACAGCCTCTTCAAACCCGAGAGCTCTGAACAGGCCGAAACACCGTGGGCCGAAAACAACAGCGAAACGCTTGTTGCGCTTAGATATGGCCCTCGCCGATTGGGCGTCCGATTCGAGGAGGTTCTTGAGGTACGTATTCAGGTTCAGCGGTGCTTGCTTGGCCCAGTCGTCGGTAGCACCCTCGTATCGCTGCGGGTCCTTCTCCGTCGCCCTCCTGAGCTCTCTGAGGATGGTATCCTCGTCCTGCAGAAGGCGGATCCACTCGCTTCCCATGCGAGGCTCGGATACATCCAAGGTGATCTGGAATGTGCAGGGAGGCGCGACACAGGCAAAGTGTTCACGTGCCCTCAGGGGGTAGTATTTGGACCACTCGTCCGCGATGACGTGGTCGGCCTCTGATCCGGCCCAGGCCAGGTGATGCCAGGGATACGAGTCGTCCCGCATGGGCCAGGTAGCTTGGCTCGCGTTGCACTGCTCGTGGGCGTGTTCAGGGTCCCAGGATAGTTTGAAGATGAAGTGAAAGTGGCAGTCGAGGCAGATGGACGAGAGTACTTTCCGGTCGTGCGTCGCGCGGCTCTGGTTCCCGTTGAGCACGAGCCGGTGCTCGTGTTGCCACTCGAAGGGGGTGTCGAGATCGGCCTGTTTGGCCCTTCCAAACATGTCACAGATGGTAAAGTTGTTGTTGACGAGCTCGTGAATCCATCGGCTCGGGTGGCAGCCTGACGTGAAGCAGATCAGTCAACGGTCGCCCGCATTACCGGAGAAGGCAAACAAAGGTCCAGACCAACCTGGCTGGTCGCGGCTCAAGGCCCTCGACTTCATCGGCACCATATTGTGTTGTATGAACGTCCCCGGCTTCGTCCCCGGCAGGACTGCATAGGGGTTGTTTGTCCCATCCTGACCAGGGCCAGGGCCGGCATGGTAGGCGAGCGCCATGGTCGGTCGACTGTCCGGCTGGGGAAGCCAAAGAGGGCTTCTGCTATGCCGTCTGGGGAGAGAGAGATTCTCTTGTACCTGCCGCAGGGTCGACTGTAGCTCTCCTTTGTAGACCGGGCAGGGTAGCTTGATGGGAGATCTATCTCGGTGGCTTCCCGTATGTCGAATGGTTCTTTTATCCGTAGCTATTTGGCCACGAAGAGCTCCCGGTAGTGTGACGTAGCCATGTGTTCTGCCTGAGTCTCGCCGCTGGCCTTGGCGGGTGGTGATCGATGATGAGTCAGCTGGGGTAGCCTACCCGGCATCGATTTGGGGGATCGATTTGGGTGTGGCTTTTGTATGTAACATTAATACTTGTTTGGATAAGATGAAGCATGAACTATGGTCTAAGATGGATTGTAATAATATATGGAAGGTGTGTTAGAGAGCACCTTGTGAGTCTGTCTCCTTGAATGGCGACGTGAACCGAGTATATACGAGTAGCAGCAGGCAGCAGCAGCAGTAGCAGCAGCAGGCAGCAGCAGCAGTAGCAGCAGCAGCAGCAGCAGTAGTAGTAGTATGTACCTAACATGACGCTCAGATCGTCAGCGACGTAATTGGGAGGAAGATTATTATTACTATACTACTACGTTAGCAGATATTTTCCTATCGTTATTCAACTCCCTAACACGAGGCGATCAGAATATGAAGAGCACCTCGTACCTTTGCCTTTTACAATTCTGATAGGAGGACAAGATTTCGCGAGGTGTTGCGTGGTGAGACGACTGAGGGAAGGAAGGAAGGGAAGACTGGAGAATTTGCTTCCGTTGACTGCTTTCTAGAATATGTCTTGTAGCATACAGATACTTCTCTACCGGAATGGGATATGGAGAGACTTGTAGGGAAGTAGTATGAAAAGAGAGCGTACCTTTCCAAAGGACTGCGAGGCCACCAAGAATATCCTACTCACCAGACCAATGGCCCTCTCCTTCCTCACCTCGCAAGGGTGTGGATAAGACCTAGTCGCATCATCTCAGCAGCTGCGTCTCCTATCAAGATCTCCCACTAAATATTTAAGCATGATTCACAAATAAGAACACCCTTATCAATCAACATTCCCCTAAATAGAAACAAAGAGGTAGACAGAACAGACCAAGCTTGGCTTCCCGGAGACTCGTGATCCACTGTCCTGCCTCAGCGCTAAGGATGGGCATCCGTCCGCCAAGACAAATAGCCACCTGAAAAGACGGGGTAGATCCCATTACTTCCCATCCTGCCACTCGCCCGTATGCGTCATTTATTGCCAACAATGAAGGTAGGTACCATGATGGCTGATGGTGTTGGCTATTAGCTCCCCCACCATCAGTCTGACCAAGACCCGGCATCCTATCTGATCCGCTTTTCGGGACCCCGCGCTTCCTCTCACATCACCTCATTCACCACATCACGCACCCATACGGCGCAAGAGAACCGAAGAGGAAACACAGGGAGAGTATAAGAGGAAAAGGGAATAGAAGCCCACAATGACTAGACCGAATCGCCTCCGCGTGGGCATAGACGTCGGCGGCACTAACACCGACGGCGTGGTCCTCGACCCCGCCGAGACGAATCCCGACGCTTCCATCAAGGCATGGCACAAGACGGCCACGACGCCCGACCCCAGCGACGGGATCGACGCCGCCCTCTCCCACATGTTCGACGTGGGGGGCGTCGACCCCTCGACCGTCTCGAGTGTCACCATCGGTACGACGCACTTTGTCAACGCCGTGGTCGAGGCCGATGCGTCGCGACTGTCCCCCGTGGCTGTCATCCGGCTCTGCGGACCCTTCTCCAAGCACGTGCCCCCCTGCGTGGACTGGAACCCCAGACTGAGCGACATCATCCTGGGGCACTACGCGCTGCTCAAGGGTGGGCTGCAGGTGGACGGGCTCCCCATCTCAGATATCTCCGAGGAGGAGATACGTGCCGAGTGCGCCGTCATCCGGGAAAAGGGCATCAGCAACATCGTCGTCAATGGCGTCTTCAGTCCCATCGATACCATCGAGAGGCAGGAGGAGAGGGCTGCCGATATTGTCAGGGCTGAGATCCCCAGCTGCAATGTTGTGTGTTCCAAGGATGTGGCCAACATTGGCTTCATAGAGCGAGAGAATGCGGCCATCCTCAATGCGTCTATCCTGACGTTTGCCAAAAAAACGATCCGCTCGTTTCAACGCCCAATCAGGCGCCTGGGACTGAAGTGCCCCCTGTACATTGCCCAGAATGACGGCACCATCCTCTCTGGCGAGGGAGCTGCCCAGCTTCCCATCCGCACCTTCTCCAGCGGCCCTACCAACAGTATGCGGGGAGCTGCGTTTCTCGTGCAGAGAAATATTGAGGAGGACGTCATGGTGGTGGACATCGGAGGGACAACGACAGATGTAGGTCTGCTCGAGGCAACCGGATTTCCCCGACAGCGCGCTGCGTACAGTGAACTGGAGGGTGTCAGAGTCAACTTTCCCGGTCCCGACATCAAGAGCATAGGCCTCGGCGGCGGATCCATCGTCCGCCCTGGAGCTCCCATGACCGTAGGACCCGACAGTGTTGGACACAAGCTGTCCAAGGAGTCGGTCGTGTTCGGCGGCAGCACTCTTACTGCTACCGACCTGACGGTCCTGGGCAACTCCGGCTTGGACATAGGCGACCGGGCACTTCTGCAGGGAAAGGCTGGGGATGCTGACGTTGAAGAGTTCCGTCGTCTGGTCAAGAAGAAGCTAGAGAACATCATTGATATGATGAAGACGTCGCCGGCCGACATACCCGTCATCCTAGTCGGAGGCGGAGCGGTTGTCGCGCCGGAGAGCCTTCGGGGAGCCTCCAAGGTGACGAAGCCCAACTGGTCACAGGTTGCCAATGCGGTGGGAGCTGCCATGGCTCGTGTCAGTGGTATCGTCGACACCGTCATGTCTACCGAGTCCAAGTCAATCCCCAAGCTGCTGGAGGTCGTCAAGGAGCAGGCCAGGGCCAGGACGATTGAGGCTGGAGCAAAGCCTTCTTCTGTTGACATTGCCGAGGTGGACACGCTTCCGCTAACAGTACGTCAAGTTTCCCCTCCTCGGACGGGATCTCAATGCTTACAATTCATTAGTATGTATCAAACATGACGCGGTTCATCGTTCGCGCCGTCGGCGACGTGGATCCCAGTAAGAACTTGGAGCTTCCGTCAGACAGGTCTGACGAGGTTGATGACGAGACCGGGACTGGAGCGCAGCCAACCATCGAAAAGAATCCCAAAGAATCATACCACGAGAAAAAAGAGGTTGATATCGATAATTACAAGCCAGATGTCCGTGGCCGCGTCTGGTATATCTCCGAGACGGATCTGGAATGGATCTCTACCGGCTGCTACATACTTGGAACGGGCGGAGGGGGTTCGCCATACTCCAGCATGATACGCCTACGCGCCGAGCTCCGAAAGGGAGCAGTAGTCAGAGTTGTCGACACAAAGGATCTCGCAGACGACGCACAAGTTGGCTGCGGCGGCGCTGCAGGCAGCCCGACGGTAGCGGTGGAGAAGCTTGGTGGCGACGAGACTCTCGAGGCTCAGCAGGAGCTGTACAAGATATGTGACAAGGCCGCAACTCACCTGATTGCGGTCGAGATTGGCGGGGCAAACGGGTTGCAGAGCTTGATTATCGGAGCGAGCACGCACATGAACATCCCCGTCGTGGACGGGGACTGGATGGGCCGAGCATACCCAACCAAGTGGCAGACAACACCGGTTGTCTTCAACGAGAGATCGCCAATCTGGTGCCCCATTGTCATGTCGGACGGCAGTGGAAACGTCCTGGTCATGCCCAAGGCTGCGTCGGATACAGATGTCGACCGTATATTTCGCAGCGCCCTCAGCCAGATGGGATCTCAAGTCGGAATTGCCGAGGCTCCCGTGACGGGTGCGGAAACGAGAAGGTGGGCGGTCCAGAACACGATCTCTCAGGCCTGGAGGATTGGCCGAGGCGTCGCCAGGGTCCGTGCCGAGCGCCGCACGGCTCAAGTGGCCGAGTCTATTCTCCAGGAATTTGGCGGAGCCAGTGCCGGCAAGGTTATCTGGAAGGGCAAGATCATCGGGGTCGAGAGAGTGGTGAGGTCTGGCTATGCGTACGGGGAGTGCCTGATCCAAGGCGCTGATGTGACCGAGGATGGGTCCTCTCGAGAGTTTCAAGGCTTGCTCCGGGTCCCTTTCAAAAACGAGAACATCGCTGCCATTGTTGACCGCGGGGACGGCCAGATGGAGGGCGAGGGAGATGTGCTGGCGACGGTACCGGACCTCATCACCATCATCGATGCGCAGAACGGCGAGGCTGTGGGCACTCCAGAGTATCGATACGGTCTTTTGGTAGTCGTGCTGGGCATCGCGGCCAGCGACAAGTGGACAGGGTCTGAGCGCGGAATCAAGATTGGAGGTCCGGAAGGGTTTGGGTTCGGCCACCTAAAGTATTCACCCCTTGGGGAATACCATGAACCGCTGAGCGTCATTGACGAGTTTGACATGAGTTAAGAGAAGAAATTTGCAACCAGGTCCAGATTATAGTCTGCTCAGATGTTCGAATTCGATTTAATGGGAGCTTCCTCTTATTGCAACAGCATCGTTGAAAGTGCAGTAATACATCATCAACAAAGATAGAGGTGCCAGAACAGACCGCTCACGAGAGAAAGACGTAGAAGAGTGAAGAGACTGCGAGTCCGAAGTAAGGGAAACTGGCAGAATCTCGCGTCGCTCCTTCCAGCTTTTTCTTTGTTCCTCGGGCGGCACAACATCACTCCGGGAAAATGACACCTGGTCATACCACCGAGACAGCTGACCGATGTAGGTCTTCACTACACGCATATAGGGAAGCATTATCTCCATATTCTGCAGTATGGCCCTCCGTACGTGCTGCAGTTTAACGAGGATGATGATATGATAATACCAAGCAAAGCAAGGGATTGATTCCGAGGGCCCTCTGTCCACTAAATGCCCCCTCTCCTTCCATTTTCCCACTTCGGTTTCATCTGCGGATTTCCCTTGCGGCTGCCCATGAATCCAGGAAGGCGCATGTGTGGATATGGAGCTGATAGAACAAGGAAGGCGAGGACGAGCTTGCCGGTTGTGAAGTTGTGCAACGATTTTCACCTTTGTTTCACCTTTTGCTCTCCATCTTCTCTCCTCCATACACATACACTCACACACATACACACACACACACACATGTATATATATGTATATATGTACACACACACACACACACACAAGGATATCGTCGTCTACTTGACATCGCAAACAGCCACGAGAGACATCTCATCCCCATCATTCATCCACCCACCCTTAAAACATGACTTCAACATATACATCAGACATGGATGAGATTTCAGCCGCACCGCCAAATGTTCAAGCTTCAACTTCACCGGACGACCAAGCGGTATCTCCGCAACCGGGTCGAGACGAAACCGGAACAGCCACGGCTTCGAAGGATCGGGCTCGGCCACATCGCTTGTTGAGTCATCTGCACTACGACGTCTTGGAGCATATCATGAAGATGGTACCGATGCGGACATTGGTCGAATTTGCGCTGACATGCAAGACTATACACCGCGAGGTCATCCCGTGTATATACCAGCGTGATGCCACGGAAAGCAACTCATCTGCCTTATTCTCGGCCGTCGACTGGGGAACCAGGAAACCCGACCGCGGCTGCAAAGATGGTGGCCGAGCTGAATACACTTTTGAGACAGCCATAGCCAACAAGGCCAATGTCAACACGATGCACCGATTTGGCGACCTCGGCCGGATAACGACGCCGTTGGCTCTTGCTGTGCACAGGAGCTCGTACGAGTGGGCAGAGAAACTCCTCCAGAAGGGCGCGGATCCCAATATCGGATGCGACTTCGTTGCCAATCAGCTGCTCAGCCATCTGCTAGGCCACTACCCAGAGTACGACGACGCTAGACCGTCACTCAACTGCGTATGGCGGCCCTTGGTCCTGGCGGTTGGGATGGGCGATGAGCCTTTGGTTCGCCTGCTGGTGGAGAATGGTGCTCTTGATGTGGTGTCCGAGCCCAAGGAAACTAGCGACGGCATTCCCAGCTCGTTTCCGCCGGCTGGGGATGTGACAGTGCATCACATATATGCTACGGGGCCTCTCGCCGGAGTCGACACGATCGAGTTCCTGCTGAGATCCTTTCCAGAGTCAGTCAACGCAGCAGTTGACGGTTGGAAAACGCCGCTGACGATGGCGATTTCCTCCCGAAAGTTTGACGCGTTCGAAGCTCTGTTGCAGGCCGCCGCAGAGGTGAACTATCCAGATGGTCCCCTGGTCCCCCCTCTGCACGCGGCAATCGAGACGTTCTGGCTGAGCACTGAGCCAGCATCGCGCTCCATATGCGTCCAGTTCATGCATCGGCTCATTCAGAGGGGAGCGGACGTCAACCGAATCTATAACGGCTCGAGCCCCCTCACGGCTGTTCTTGGGGGCATAAGCTGTTCGGAGACTAAGCAGCTACTTCCATCCATGTTTCCCATAGTGCAGATGCTCATCCAGGGCCAGGCCGACGTAAACTACATGGACCCCAGCGGCAAAACACCGATGTGCATCATCTTTGACAAGGCCACGTTGACGTGGGATTTCCGCACATGCACCTTTCTCCAGCAACCCCTCAGCCAGCTGTTCGCTGCAGGCGCCGATGTCAACAAGCACGGACCCAACCGGGAGACAAGTCTGTTCTCATTGCTGAAGGCATTCTTCCTGGATCCAGCTGCAAATGTCTCCGCCGCGTTCATCCAATGTACCGTGGCCTATGGCGCTGTCCTGGGCGACGACGAGGCCAACCGGATGTTCATCAGGTGGCTGGACAATGCATGGTTCCAGAAAACATACCGCATGGCCCGCTACCACGGGAAACGCATCTCGAAGGAGATACTCTTCCAGGCGTACGAGGGTGCCATCAAGCAGAGGGACATGAAGAAGCTCAAGGCTCTCGGGGCCTTTGGAGAGCCTGCCAACACCGACGTGGTCTTGAGCCTTGCATTTCACCCCGCATACTATAACCGGCAGGTGATTGAGAGATCGCGTGGGTGGCGGTTTGATGCCAACTTTACCGATGCCGAGGATTCAGGGAGAGGATATATGCACAAGATCATCAGGGTCCTCGAATGCAACAAGGGCTACAGGGAGAAGCAGGCGACGCGGGACCTTCAGCAACTCCTGCTCCGGCGCTGCCGGCCGGGTCTTCTCGATGCGGGGGGGAAGACGGCTCTCGAGAGGCTACGGATGATGGCCAGTCTGCCGCAAAGTCGCGGACGATTTTCCAATGTTGAAGAATTCTTGCGACGGAGAACGGACCGGTGATGAAGCTGGTGTTGACGAGTCTGCACGGCGGCCAAGGCCATGACGACTCCTGGATGACGGATGCAACCCAGGAGACTCTTGAACTGGTCTCTCTCTCTCTCTCTCTCTCTCTCTCTCTCTCTCTCTCTCTCTTCTCTCTCTCTTCTCTTTCTCTCTCTAGTCTTTTTTTCCTTCTCTTTTTCTTCTTTTTTTCCTCATCTTCATTTTCAGGGCGGCGTTGGTGGTTTCACAAAACAAGAGTATAGACAAGGAGTGATGAGGTGGCGGTTTATCGGGAATAGGATTTGAGGGTATGACGCTGATTCAGTCGGGGACACTGGGATGGGATCGATTATCTCTCTCCTCTCTCTATCTCTCCCGTCTCCATCTCGGTCTCGTCTGGGACAGTGTCCGGCGGTGTCTGAATAGAATTACCGGAATAGGCAGGTTAAAATGCATAGAGATTGAAACCAGAAGATGCCCCCGCAAAACGGAGCTATAACACGCACACGGACTGACGGAGACTTGGCCAAGAGCTGAGGATGATCGATTGCCATTGCGCCAAAGAGGTAGGTCTTTTTGAAAGAAGGTGCTCTTATCTATCTTGAGAGGATGTTGTCGAGTCCGAGGTGGGATAGGAAGAGGTGGGATAGGAAGAGCCGGAGACTGGTGATGTGATGATGCTGGCCCATGAGACGCTGAAGGTTCATGTCACATGTATCATTATTAATAATATATAATATTATATGTAATCTGTATCTGCATCTGCACAGACTAATACATGCCACGCATAGTGCTCGTACAAGTAAGTACTGATAGATACAATGTATTATGATATTATGGATATCTGGGCCCCGTTTATAATGTACGCGTAGATTAATATATGGTTAATATTGACACTCGTATATCTAGAATCCCGTATCTTGCGTGTCGTATTCTCTCGCTCTACCCCCTTCCTGTCCCGTCTGCCCGTTTTTATTTTTATGTTTTATTTTTATTCTTATACTATTATTGAAGCTAGACAATGATGATAGGAAAAAAGGAAGAGAAGATTCCCCCCCCCCTTTCTCCCTCTTCATGGACATATGGCCGCATATCTGACCAATGGTCTCTGGTCTGTTTCACCACAAGTCCTACGTATTGACCTATTGACGCTGATCCCTTCCCGCCCTGATCTTGCCCTTGCTATGTATCTGCATGGGCGGTCGGTTCCCGCATCGAGCAGCTTGTCGTTATCTCTGTACTTTACTCGTCGGGAGCGGTAATGATAGTGATACTCCGTGATCAAGTTCAGGAACGCACTTACAGGCAGGTAATATTACCGCTTGTGAGACTCCCCCTCCCCCCCTCCCCCTGCAGGGATAGATTGAATTCCTTATTTTTTTTTTGTCCTTGGCTCATGGCCATTATATCATAGCACCAAGAAAGGGCCGGGGGGGAGGAGACGGCACATGCTGATGCGGATGCTCATGCGCGCGCGCTCGTCCTCGTGCGATTGTGGATGATGTAAATGGCTCTTGGGTGGATAGCAGTACAAAAGGTCAGATCTTCCCCCCTCCCGGGCTCCTCTGTCTTGGGAATGGCATGACTTCTATCCTGTTTCGATACTGACCGACCAACAAGCTCACGCTCATATCGCGAGAGTGTGCGGGAGAGATGAAGTCTGCTATTGCCATCCTGCTCTCATCCGCTGCGGCTGTGGTCGCCTACCCGGTTCGTCTGTTCAGATTGTTCTATACACCCTTCTGGGTGGGAGAGGCATGGATGGGTGCTGACGTGCGGGGGGTCTGAGAACAGCCCGGTATCCCTAGCGAGTCCGAGGCTCGCTCTCTCCTATCCGGATTGACCGTCAGGGAGCCCGAGGATGACGGCTCGTACGACCGCGACTTGTTCCCTCACTGGGAGACTGTCGAGGGGACTTGTAGCGCTCGGTATGTCCATATCCCTCCCTTCCCTCCCGTCCTCGGATTCAGCCGAAAGGAGGGGGGTTTTTCTTCTTCTTCTTCTTTTTCTCCCCCCCCCCCCCCGGCGAGAGCTTTCTTCCATCGTGTGCTGCTGTCCGAACAAGTAATGGTGATGATACTGATGGGGAAGAATAGCGAGTACGTCCTCCGCCGCGATGGCGATGACGTCCAGGTCGGCAGCGACTGCTACCCTACGGCCGGCACGTGGACAAGCGTGTACGACGGTGTGACGGAGTCTGTGCCGAGCAAGATTTCTATCGATCACATGGTTCCCTTGAAGAATGCGTGGATTGTGAGTAACCCATTCCCTGCCGAGATGATATCTGCATCGAGATGGAGCAAGGTATAGAGAAGAGAGAGAGAGTGTGTGTGTATGTGTGTATGACTGACATGGAATATGAAAAAAAAAAAAAAAAAGTCTGGTGCTTCCGAATGGACCACGTCTGAGCGTGAGAAGCTGGCCAACGACGTCGACGCTCCGCAGCTATGGGCCGTCACAACGTCCATCAACTCCAAGAAGAGTGACAGGTCGCCGGACTCGTGGAAGCCTCCGTTGACGTCGATCCACTGCGACTACGCTGCCTCCTGGATCAAGGTCAAGAGCAAGTATGACCTCATCGTCAGCTCGGCTGAGCAGGCTGCCCTCGAGGAGATGCTTGGCAAGTGTTGAGCCATTGAGAGGAAGGCTTTCCTCTTCTTCTTCATCTTCGTCTTCATCCTCATCTCTTGCTTCGATCGTGGACATGTATATATAATGATACACTCGCCGTATATGCATTGAATCATTCACCTGGCTCAGCATGTCAATACCGTCTCACCTCTCCAGGTATCTCCCGCCAGAGTTCTCATATGATATATGGCTGGCCTATCCATGAGGAGGAGGAGGAGAAGATGGGGGAGACGCCTCCTCCTTGTGGTTCATTGCCTGCCGAGTTGAGCCGGTCGTCTGGTCCAACTCCACACCACAGCATCCTGCGTATCTTACTGAAGAGGACGGTGAGCCTCGGAGTCGGAACAGAATATCCACGACGCTTGACCGTGACGAGAGAGATGGTGGAGATGACAGCAGCAACACTTACACCGGATGCCAGACGATGCCGATCGCGATTCCCAGCACTCGTTGCGTGTGTAGACGTGTAGATAGATACTCTGTGATTGGGACATGGTCGGATTGTCTATTCCCTTTTTCTTCCCCCCCCCCCATGATGATGATGATGATGCCAGATCAACATCTCGGTACTCCCCACGGAAGTAACAGTGGATGTAGACGATCAGATAGACTCCACAAGGTAACATATTATCTTGTCGGCGCTCGTCTTATCTGAGAAGGAGAACAGGACTGATAAAAAAAAATCTGTACAGTCAAGGTGGATGGATGTATCCTGTGGCAATGATACCAGGACATGATAAGGACCCGTCCTCGACCCTTTTTTTTTTCCTTCAACTTATCAATCGCGCTCGATTGCGATTGTCGTTGATCTTTTCTTCTTTTTCTCTACCGCATCGATACTCGCTCGTATATGCATCGACTGATGACTCAAAGCAGTCCAGCATGACAACTTTTTAGATGATATACCAATCTACCCACCGCATATCCACGTATCGTGATTGATTATTATTGTTACTAGTATCATCATCATTATTCATCAGAGACGAAGAAGAGAAAGTCCAGGAAAAGTGCGACAACAGCAACAACAGCAACAACATGACCGTCGTCAATGACCCAAAGACTGAAATCACCCAGGAGAAGCTCAAGCTTCTGCCGCAGGGAAACTACCTCCTCAGCTGCATGACGACTCTGCGGAGCTCCGACAGCGACGTGGCAGCCTTCGCAGCCGCGTTTGACAGCGTGGCCAGCCAGCTCATCGCCGCAGGTTAGTATACACATCCTGGATTGCCGTGTCAGCCGAAGAAGAAGGAAGGAGGAAACTTGAAAGACTTCAAGAGGGAAAGAAGAAGAAGAAGCTGACGATTCTCTGTATAGCTCTAGACATGGTCCCTGCCGACCCGGTAGAGACCACGACGCCGACCGGCCGTGTCTACGGCGGCTGCAAACTCTCGCCGGACATCTGCGGCGTCAGCATCCTCCGAGCCGGGGCCAGCTTTGAGGGCGCGCTCAGGAGAGCTTACGGGTATGTGGTGTCGAGCCATGCATCGTCGTGTGCTGTGTGGATTATGTGTCGTGTCGTGACCTGACATGAGCGAGGAGGTGACAGGATCCGCGTGAGCTTTGGCATGATACTGATCCAGCGCGACGAGTCAACCGCCCTCCCCGTGCATCTGTACTCGAAACTTCCGGGAGACATTTCGACCAAGAGTGAGTGTGCGCGGAGAGGAGAAGAGCACTGGGGGATATCTACACCTGCATCTACATCTCTCTCCCTCTCTATATATATATATATGTGTATATATATATATGCTTGCCATGCTGACCGGATCCAGCTGTCCTCGTACTAGAACCCATGCTGGCCACAGGCGGTTCGGCATGCAGAGCAATCCAGGTCCTCGAGGACGCAGGCGTTCGGCAGGACAGCATCATCTTTGTCAACCTCGTCGCCTCTCGCCACGGCATTTCCACCCTGCAGAGCCGGTTCCCGCGCCTGAAGATGGTGACGGCGGCTATCGATGATGAGCTGACGGAGAGTCGGTGAGGATCAATCTTGTACCTGAAAACATCCCAAACTCACTTGACAGGATGCTGACATTGGACTGCTGATCGTCATCAGACATATCGCTCCCGGTCTTGGTGACTTTGGTGACAGATTCTATGGCACGATCTGATTACCTGATTGGGAAGTCTGTACATCCCCCCCGGGGAGGTGGGTGAAAAATGGCTCCGGTAGTGGTGCGAATATTCCAAATTTACACATGAAAAGTCGGTATCATGCCATCACTCACAGCATCAACAAATCAACAGCCTCTCCACCGCTGAGATACCGACCAAGCTAATCAGGGATAGGACCGACGATGCAGATGGAGGAAACCTAGGGGGAAGCACATGCCACCGATTGTAATTGTCCAGAGCAAGTCTCGAGTTTCTCACAATCTGTTGCGAGACATGATACAGCTCCATGAGGAAGTCAGAGCGCTATATATATGTATGTGGGGGGGTCATGGTCGACAGGTTGCCGTCCTATATACCTTTCTTCCATCATGGCCTGATTGCCTCTCTATCCTGCCCATCTTGTTGATACCGGTAATTGTGGAATGGTGGCTGCTTGTGTTCGCTGTTATGGATCATCAGTATATCGGATACGTACTGCTGGATCGCAGGATCCTCCAACATGTACAGATTACTCCGTACTCATGTGGCTTGCTCCGCAGCCTCCACAGGAACCCTCTGGCGTGATAGCATACAACCTATCAATATGTACTGTCAAAGTCTACAAGTACAAGGTACCTCTCATCAGTAGTAATCGTCTCTCTCTCGTATTGGCCCCCCGCCTGTTAACAAACACCTCTCTGGTCAACTTCCAATGTCATGAACCCATCCCCCCCTTCCGATTATGACGATACCGAACCAGTGAGAGAGTCTCGGTCGAGCAGCCACGCGATAGATGGACTCGTCCCCGTTGATGGATTCACCCGGCAACGGCTCCGCCGCCACCATCACCGGTGCGACCCCGCGGGTCCGGAAAGCATCGCAGGACAGCCCTTACCCGCGGAAACGGTCCCGATTAGACGTGCGTCTCATCAAAACACACCGGCCCAAGTTTTTTTTTTCTTTTCTCGTCGTGCCCCCATCATTAACCAGCATGTGTGGCCCCTCACCAGCCAACGTCCGCGGTCTCGATAGACGACATGACAAGGCAGAGGTCCGCATCCCTGTCGCAAGGTGTCACGTACAACTTTGTTGATAATGAATTCATCATATCCCGGTCGCGATCCTGGACCAAAGTCAACGATCCTGTGAGACTTGTTGCCTCTCTTCATCATTCAATGGACCCAATTCCCCAATCACCTTTCATTTTCCATTTCGATTGGAGGCATACATGACTGACGTACCATGGTAATTTTTTTTTTTTTAAAAAATCATTAAAAAAAAAGTCTACGCAGGCATTCATCAGCAGAGTTCCTGAATCAACAGCCGCCGAGGTGCGGAGTGCCGTCGAGGCTGCATCGGCCGCGCAGATGACCTGGCGTGATATGCCCATGGGTAAGCGGAGGGGCCTGATGCTCAACCTAGTCGCCCTCCTGAAGCAGAACTCATCCAGGATTGTAAGTATTTCACGTACCACCGGATCCTTGTTGCTTTCAAAGTCTCGAGAGAACCAAGAAGAAGAAGAGAGAGAGAGAGGAAGAAAGAGGAAGAGAGAGAGAGAGAGAGAGAGAGAGAGAGAAACCGCCCCCCCTCCTAACATGATATCGGCCTATCGAGAGACACAACCTTTGCGTCGAAGTAGGAAAGACACTGGCCGATGCAGACGCCGAGTTTGAACGAGGCATAGACGCCGTAGAGACGGCCTGCTCCGTCGCCAACGACAGCGGCGGAGTGCATCATCTCCACCAGGCAGCAGACATTTACACCATCAACCAACCTCTGGTATGTCTTCTTTTCTTCTCCCCCCCCCCATTCCCTCTTTCTTATTCTTTGTTCTTCTTCATAAAGGTCTCCCCTTGATAAGAAAGTTTTTTTAACAAAAAAATAATAATTTAACACTCAATCGTCAGGGCGTTTGCATAGCGATATGCCCCTTCAACTTCCCCTTCATGATCCCCCTCTGGTCGACCCCGTACGCACTCCTGGCCGGCAACACCATGGTTCTCAAACCGTCGGAGCTGGCACCGTCCGCGTCGCAGATCCTGGCCGAGTGCTTCCTGGGCGCAGGCTTCCCCCCGGGCGTCTTCAACGTGGTGCACGGCAAGATGCGGGTCGTCAACTCCCTGCTGTCGGAGCCGGCGGTGCGAGCGGTCAACTTCGTCGGGACCGAGATCGCCGGCGAGCGCGTGTACGAGCACGCGCAGGCGACGCGCAAGCGCATACAGGCCGAGTGCAACGCCAAGAACCACGGCGTCATCGTCGGGGACGCCTCCAAGGCCAAGACGCTCTACGCCATCGTGGGGAGCGCCTTCGGCGCGGCCGGCCAGCGGTGCATGTCGCTCAGCGTCGTCATCTTCGTCGGCGAGACCAGGGCCTGGGTCGACGAGCTCGTCGGGCTGGCGGCCTCGCTCGTCGTCGGCTGCGGTCTCGACCCGCTCGTCGAGGTCGGGCCGCTCATCACGCCCGCGGCCAAGGCACGCGTCGAGGACATGATTGCCGGCGCTGTCGAGGAGGGTGCCTCGGTCGCCCTCGACGGCCGGGGCCTCGACGTCCCGGACTATCCGGAGGGAAACTTTGTCGGCCCCACCGTCCTCACCGGCGTCAAGCCGCACATGTCGTGCTACCAGGAGGAGATATTCGGGCCGGTGCTGTGCTGCATGGAGGTCGACACCCTGGATGAGGCGATCGACCTGGTGAACGAGAATAAGTGTGAGCTGACCCGAAGCCTTTCCCTCGTTGCCCTTGGCCCCTTGGGCCAGCAAGGGGGGCCAGCACGGGGACCGTTGACGACCTGTACTCCGTCGGCTGACATGGATGCCTGCTGCAGATGGAAACGGATGCACCCTCTTCACAAAGAACCCGGCCACGGCCCAGATCTTCCAGCGCTCGGTCAATGTCGGTCAGGTCGGCATCAATGTTCCGATACTGGGTATGTGTCTCCGGGCCGCCGCCGCCGCCTCCTCTGTTGTACGCTCGGCTGACCGGATTTCCAGCACCATCAGGTCCTGTCGCGAGGACGGGGAACAAGGACTCGTTCCTAGGAGGTGAGTGTCCTTTTTTTTCTCTCTCTCTTTTTCTTTCGAATGAGCTACGGAGGCTCTCCCGGAGATGACACGCAAAAGAGTACTGACAGAACAACTCTGTGACGACAAGACCAGAACCTCCATGGAAGAAGCCCGTGGCAGTTTTACACCATGACCAAGACCATCACATCGTTGTGGCCTGAGTGATGCATGCATGCATGACTACATGAGGCGACATTATATCTGCGCACGATGAGAAGGAAGCAGTCGGGAGGTGCCAATGTATAATGGAATCACGGCGCAAGCCGAGAGCCTATAGAGAAAACTTCTCGCGATATCTTCACCTTCTGTTCATTGTTCGAGTACACGCGCCTCTCTAATCTGTTTCTCGGACCCCTTCATCCGCTCCATCCCGCATCCGTCCCGGTACCGAATAAGCGGTCGCCGATGTCGCCAACACCCGGCTTCACAAAGCCCTTCTCATCCAGACCGTCATCCACAGCACCTACGTAGACCTTTGTCCGCTCCGGCCAAGCACTCGATACCTTCTCCAGTCCAGCCTTGCTGGCCACGAGGCAGAGGAACGTGATGCTGTCGATATTCCATTCCCTAGTCAGACTGCTGTCAGCAACCCTCTTCCTTTTTCTTCCGTATGCATCGTAATATAGCTTTCTTTCTTTCTTTCCTTCTCCTCATGCATGAGGAGAGGAGAAGAAGAAGAAGAGAAGAAGACATGTAGACCAACCTGAGGATACTTATGGCTGCGCAGCAAGTACCACCCGTGGCAACCAGCGGGTCGAGGATGTAAGCATGCTTGATGTTGTCGGCCTTTGCGGGCAGCTTGTTGTAGTACTCGATGGGCTGGAGGGTCTGGCGCTCGCGGAACAGGCCGAGGTGGTGGATGACCATGTCGGTGTCCTCCGGGAGGGCGTCGGTAAAGGGCTCCATCATGGCGAGACCGGATCGCAGGATGACAATGACGGCAATCTTCTCTCCCGGCGGGGGAGGCGCCGTGATGGCATCCTTGGCCACCATCGTCGTGAGCTGGCGAACGATCGAGCGCACCGCAGCCGGACGCATCGAGGAGTCCTCTCGCAGCTTGGCCAGCGTGCTGGTAAAGGCCGGGTCGCTGACTTGGAAGGTGTTTGGTGCCATTGCTATCGGATTACTATTTTCTTGAGCGACGGCTTTCAGGTGCTGTAGGTTCGAGGGATGGAAAGGGGGAAGAGAGAGAGAGAGAAAGAGAGAGAGACGGAGACAGAGACAGAGAGGAGAGAGAGAGAGAGGGAGAGAGAGAGAGAGTGTGTGTGTAGGTGGAATGTCTTGATACTATGTACATGCACATACGCGTTCAATATAATGCCATCTGTCGGCTGAACAGTGGTCTCTAGTCCGAAACCAGTATGAGTATTACTGATACTAATAAATGTCCCGTAAGATCCGTATCGTGACGAGTGGAGATGGATGTTGTGGTCCCCGGGGGTAGGTGTAGATCTTATCATGACCCTGTGCATATTGGCGCTATCTTGAGAATGCTTGTTTGATAACCATGTTCAAGGCAAACGATGAACCCCTTTACGTCCTATAGATAAGGGAAATTCAATTGCACTTGCTTCTATCGATCGACATCTCTCGCATGCTTCCGTATCATGCAGCTCATGTGCTCGTACAGCTGACGCTAAAGGTTGAAGCATCAGACGTCACCTGATTAAGTCGTACGTGACAGTTCAAGATTGATGGTACTATGTATGTATGCAAGCCAGCCCAACCATCTCAGGCATGTTGCACGACCCCTCACAACTCGAGAAGCAAGACCATTCGCAAGTATCAGTCAACAACGATGTCGGCAGACGACACGGTCAACTATCTGCTAAGCCTCCAGGCTGTGCGTCAGAGGGCCCATTCTGTCCTGAGCATAGCCGAGAAGGGCTCGCTCAACAGCTTCGACTACCATGCCGACCGTATGCCGACCGTGGCCGACTACGTCATTGGCATCATCGACGTGCGTAACACATCTTGATCATCCAAGGCGAATTCCCAAACACCTACGCACGCATACACACGCGCATGGCATACATACATCCAAGGAGATCATTCCCATCAGCGCTGACACTGACAGCACGGTCGCAGCGAGACTTTGGCCCGGACAGATATGCCGATATCCCCCCCCACGGTAGATGGCAGCACCACGAGGTCGGAGGCGTGCCCCGCGTGTCCAACCTGCTGGATTCGTGGAGATCTGCGGGCTGCGACGATACGGAGCTGACCCGACGACTGATCGACCTCTTCTTCGTCTCCGTCCTGCTGGATGCCGGGGCCGGGGACACGTGGAAGTTCAAGGAACCCGGGACCGATGGCGTGTATAATCGGAGTGAGGGCATCAGCGTGGCGGCGCTCCACATGTTCAAGTCGGGTGCATTCAGTGCCGATGGGGCCGAGTGCGTTGTTGATGGTGAGTGCATCTTCATCTGCCCCCCCCCCCCCTTTGGAAGCCAGAGAGATGATAGAAGGGACTGACTCATCCACCCGGTCCGTTATAGCCAAGGGGTTGATCCAGCTTTCGGAAGAGACCTTTGCGGCTGGATACCAGGTTACACCGGAGAACCCTCTCGTCGGCATGTCGTCGCGAGTGAAGCTCATGAACACTGTTGGCAAGTCACTCCTCAACCAGACGAGCATTGTCGGTGCCAACGGACGTCCGGGAAACATGGTTGGTAAGTGGCAACAACTTTTTTTTTCAATTTTTTTTTTCCAGATAACCTACGAGATGTCCTTGTATGCTTGCTTTTACTGAGACTCTCAAGACTACCTGGTCAAGTCGTCCACAGAGGAAGGGACTCTAGACTACGAGCTCCTGTGGCGCACGCTCCAGAGCATACTCATCCCGTCCTGGCCGGCGGGCCGCACCGCAGTCAACGGGAGCCCCCTCGGCGACGCCTGGCCTCTGAAAGCCCTGGGTGGCGACGGCGACGACGCGGGCGCTTCGATCCAGCCGTTCCACAAGCTGACGCAGTGGCTCGGATACTCGCTCACCGTTCCCTTCATGCGCATCCTGAAGCTCCGGATCGCCAACATCGAGCTCGGCACCGGACTCCCCGAGTACAGGAACGGCGGTCTGTTTGTCGATCTGGGCGTGCTGTCGCTGAAGCCGGCCGTGCTCGAGGCCGGCCAGCTCGCGTCCAAGGAGACGCTGCCCAAGTTCGACGCGGGGGGGGATACGATTGTGGAGTGGAGAGCTCTCACGGTGGCGCTCCTAGATGAGCTGTACGGGATCGTATCGGCGCATTATTCCAACAAGGGCTTCAGCGTGAGCATGGCGCAGATGCTCGAGGCCGGCACATGGAAGGGCGGGCGTGAGCTGGCGGCTGAACATAGGCCTGAGACGAGGTCTAGCCCGATTCTCATAGATGGTGATGGTACGCTATTCTAAGTCTTGTCTTGATAGAAATGGATAGATCCCACCTACGCCTTGTAACCGCTTTACCGTCTATCTGTATGCCTCTCATGCGGCCGATGCGCTCGCTGTCTGACTCGAGGCAGGCGAGCCGAGGAGCAATGCAGGTGAGCTTAATGTTCCTCTCGGGAACAATAAAACGGAGAAGAAGAGATGAGCAGATACGTTAGACTGTCGGTGCACTTCGATACTAGACAAACTGCCCGTCCTCCTCCACGGTTGCGGGTTGCGTACATCATGACTGTGACTGCGCTAGGAAAGCGGTGCAAATCTCGGCCCCGATAATCGGGACGCTCTTTAGCACAGGGCAAGTCCGTTATCTGCACTCTCATACGCAACCGCGAGGCTTGATAGAAGAGGCCCAGCCAGATAAGACTTTGGCTGTCCATGCTGCCAAGGAACATCTTTTATCTTACCCAGATAAAGATTGGAAAGTCTGCACAGGCCTACGGATGTCTGTGGATTCCAACCAAGATCGCCATGCTCGATCGCTCCCTTCTTGCGTCCTGCACTTCCGGAGCTCCGTCTTATCGTCATCGGCGATCCTGACCAGCTCCTCGGCAGACCGCATGATAGACCTATACCCGACGAAGGAGGGCTCTCTGTCCATGCTCCGTACCAAGTACGGATATCGAACGCGTGAAAGATTGGCACAAGTCAAGCTGCTCCTGGGACCGACCGATTGGCATGTATCTCTGCGGGAATCATCAGTTCTCACTATCACGTATACTTGCCTATCGCAAAACCCCCTATAGACACCTCACCGCACTGGCACCGTTTCCTCCTCTTTCTTTTCTTTTTTTCTTCCCTTTCCCTCTCGCTATCCCCCCCTCCCTCACTCTCTGTTATAATGAGAGGTCTGAACACGAGTTATTCAATCGACTTGGAAGAGCATCCAGATCAACCACCACCAGCAAAGAGGTTACAGACAACAACAGCCATGGGTGACGACAGCAGCAAGAGCAGAGCAGATGAGACGCTGCCCAACGGAGCGGCGGCAGAAGAAAAGGAGAAGCCTTCGCACCCCCAGGCAGCAAAGGGGTACTCCAACCGCATCATTGTACGTCGAATGGAACTGACCCCCCTCCCCTTTCTTGGGGATACTCCTCTCTCGGTAGACTGACAGTCTGACGTGATTGCAGTTGACGACATACCCGGGCCAGAGCGTGGTAAACCCGGTCGACCTGGTATGGGGAGCGTCGGACCCCCAGAAGCGCGGGCCGGTGCTGGTGTCGCGCAACGGCGAGACGCTGGCGCGGCGCAACGCCATCGGCGCCCACGGCGGCAGCTACTCGGTGTACAACGCGCTCGCGATAGCGGCCGGGGACCTCCCCACCAACTTCCGTCCGAGCTTCGTCAACACGGAGCCGACCTTCGACTTCCCTCAGCAGCCGGCCTGGTCGGACCCGACGCGCATCGTGTCCATGGACCCCTTCGGCCACGACACGGTGCGGCACTTTGGCGCCCTGCTGGACCGGGGCCTGGACGTGCGGCCCACCATCGCCGTGACGCGGGCCAACATGCGCGTGGCCGAGATGACGGACGCCATCCGCGCGGGGACCCTCCCCGTCGACGGGAACGTCGTCATCAACGAGGCGGGGGACGTGCGCGTCACCAAGTGCGCCGTCGAGCCGGTGTGGTACCTCCCCGGCGTGGCCGCGCGCTTCGGCATCGACGAGGGCACCCTCCGCAGGGCCCTGTTCGAGCACACCGGCGGCAGCTACCCGGAGCTCGTGACCCGGCCCGACATCAAGGTCTTCCTGCCGCCCATCGGCGGCCTGACCGTGTACATCTTCGGTCCGCCCGAGCGCGTGTCCGACCCGAACGTCAAGCTGGCTCTGCGCATCCACGACGAGTGCAACGGCTCCGATGTCTTCCAGTCCGACATCTGTACCTGCCGGCCCTACCTGGCATTCGGCATCCAGGAGGCTATCAAGGAGGCCCAGAACGGAGGCTCGGGCGTCGTCGTCTACTTCCGCAAGGAGGGGCGCGCCCTGGGTGAGGTGGTCAAGTACCTCGTCTACAATGCGCGGAAGCGTGGCGGCGATACCGCCGACAAGTACTTTGAGCGCACCGAGAATATTGCCGGTGTGAGAGATGTGAGTTTTTTCTTCCCTTTTCTTCTTTTCTCTCTTTCTTTCCGCTGCTTCAAGTTTAGGCCTGTACGACTGACTCTCTGCTGGTATCAGATGAGATTCCAAGCTCTCATGCCCGACATCCTCCAGTGGCTCGGCATCAAGAAGATTGACAGGATGCTGTCCATGTCCAACATGAAGTACGATGCCATTGTCGAGCAGGGAATCCCCATTCTCGAGCGCGTTCCCATTCCGGATGGTACGTATCTTCTCAATCTGCCCAATCTCTACCCAACTTCACATCAAGATGCTAAGCCTGTATTACTCCTGTGGGATAGAATTGATCCCCGCCGACTCGCACGTCGAGATAGACGCCAAGATCAATGCCGGGTACTTTACACAGGGCAAGAAGTACAAGGAGGAAGAGTTGAAACAGATCAAAGGTCGTGGCTGGCAAGGCTGGGAAGACGTTGCGCACTGAGTGCATACATTTGAGAATGATGAGTTGTATATAATTCCGAGAGCGAAGATGAACGAAAAGGGAAAATAAATGAGTCAAGTAAGACAAGAGAAGACAAAAGGAGAAGAATTGACAGAAGAGACAAGAGACAGAAGTCTGAGGATGTGTTCTACTGCCACCTGTCCGAGGTACGATAGGCAACCAAACCGGGTGCGACAATCGAAACGGCGAGTCACAGACTCCACCCCGTGGGTAGTCCCCGGTGAAACCCTGCGAACATCCCTGCATGTGCCTAGATCCTCTTTCTTTCTTTTTTCTTTTTTTCTCTCTCACTTCCGAATACCATTCTCCTTACTCGTGCAGGATGGATCAAGATGCGCGATGGGAACCTTGTGCGTGTGTGTTGAGTCGCGAGGGCTTAAGACGTTCTCGGCTCACTGATGCCGTTTGCGCCCTGCGGATGCAACCCCAAAAGTACAAAAGTCCTCTTCTTTCTAGTTAAAGCCCGTGGAATCCGGAATCTGCCCCTTCTACGAAGAACAAGCAATACAACATGCTATTCCCATTGGGGCAGGACACCACAAGGGCAAGGGGGCCGTCGGGGGGGGGGGGGGGGGGGGGGGGGGGGGGGGGGGGGCATGCAAACGGACCTTTTTCTGCGTGATGCTGCAATTGTTCCAAGTTGGTTGGTTTCTCTCTCTCCCTCCCTCTCTCTCTCTCTCTTCCTATTGTTATCAGGAAGAGGCCCGGGTATCTTTGTATCTTCTCCACAAATGTCACTGCCTCTTGCATAGTGACAATACGTCGTCGTATTGATCGATATTCCTGATGACATGGTAACATTTTCCCTATCGTCGAGTTTATCGCGTGCTTTGGATGACTGCAGAGAGACCTGGCTCAACCCTGCTGATCTGCTTACTTGATGCTCGACTCGCAATTCGAAATATAAATAATCACATGGTGCCGGTTGCATGAGATGGATGCTCATATTTCACCTTGCTTTTGGGAACGGGCAAGGCAGCCTCGTTGGTGATGCGGAAGGTATGTTCTTCTCATGTAGGGAGCCGTGGTTCCTCAATGTTACATGCATCATCAACGTACATGAAATAACTGATCAGATCCCCCTCATCGGTTGAAGACGAGACTCATCTCTTCTTTGCAACTTGCTTTTTCTGTAGCTCGTGCAATCTTCCTTGGAAGGACTCTCTCTCTCTCGGCTCAACCGCTGTCGTCATGAGGTTCGGCCTGCTCCTATCCGCGAGCCTGGCCTCGGCCACATTCCGTCGTGGGAACGGCATTATAGCTCCCGACGGAGATGACGACGAAGACGATCTCGAGCTCGCCACGTTGACGGGTGGCAGTCTGCACCGCAAGCCCAAGACAGACAACCAGACGACGACGGGCTGGGGCACGTTCGAACAGCTCATCGACCACGCCAACCCGGGCCTGGGCACCTTCAGCCAGCGGTACTGGTACGGCACCGAGCACTGGAGGGGGCCCGGGTCGCCCATCTTCATGATGAACCCAGGCGAGCAGTCGGCCGAGGGGTTCAACAAGTCGTTCGTCGGCGACCAGCGGCTGCCCATGCTCTTCGCCAAGGAGACGGGCGGCGCCGTCGTCATCATGGAGCACCGGTACTGGGGCGGGTCGTCGCCCTATGAGAACCTGACGGCCGAGAACCTCCAGTACCTCACCCTGCAGAACAGCCTGCTGGACAACACCTACTTTGCGCAGAACCTCGTCCCGCCCTTCGACCCCAGCGGCCGCAGCTCCCCCGACAAGGCGCCCTGGATCTTCTCGGGCGGGTCCTATCCCGGCGCTCTGGCCGGCTGGCTCGCCGCCCTGGAGCCGGGCACCTTCTGGGCCTACCACGGCACCAGCGGCGTCGTCGAGGCCGTCGGGGACTTTTGGCAGTACTTCACCCCCGTGCTGGAGGCGACGCCGGAGAACTGCACTGCCGACGTCACGGCCGTGATTGACCACATCGACCACCTTCTCCTGCACGGCAGCGAGACGGACAAGGAGTCGCTCAAGAAGAAGTTCAAGCTCCAAGAGCTCGAGGATGCTGATTTTGCTGCGTGAGTGACCGAACGAATCCTCACGTGAACTGTCTGGGATCCCACGTCTGGGGTCCACGACTGGCTGACAGGCGTATAGCGCTCTGGAGAATGGCCCTTGGTCGTGGCAGTCGGGCCAGTACTATACCGGGACTGAGAGGCAGAACCCTTACTACCAGTTCTGCGATTACGTCGAGGTATTCTCCTCTGCTGTTTCCGTCCTGTGAGTGTTCCAGAACGAGGATTGACCGATGATTGAGAACAGAATGCGTGGCCCAACTCTACAGAGGTCCCCGGCCCGGAGGGCGTTGGTCTGCACAAGGCCCTGGATGGTTATGCCCGATGGGTCAAGGAGCTGCTCCTCCCTGGATGTAAGTCACGGCCGGCTTCGACCGCCTCGATAACTTGCGCTGACACACTGTTCCCAGATTGTGAATCATATGGCTACGATGACTGGAAGGGCGAGTACAACACGGGGTGTTTTGCCAACTCGAACGCCTCCAGCATCGCCTACCACGACCTATCGGTGGACAACTACGTCAACAGGCAGTGGAACTGGCTTCTATGCAACGAACCGTACGTCACATCCACTTCACCGACGCCCCTACTTCTTCTTCTTCTTCTTCTTCACTTTTCAATCTCGACAGTACTGACCATTGCCCGGGGAAAACAGTTTCAAGTTCTGGCAGGATGGCGCCCCCGAGAACCGCCCTTCCCTGGTCTCCCGCCTCGTCGACGTGGACTACTGGGAGGCCCAGTGCGCCCTCTTCTTTCCCGAAGGAGGCTACGGCATCGCCAAGGGCAAGACGGTGGAAGATGTCAACAGCTGGACGGGTGGCTGGTCCGTCGAGAACACGACGCGTCTCCTCTACGCCAACGGCCAATTCGACCCATGGCGCGACGCCACCGTGAGCTCCAAGGACCGTCCCGGTGGTCCCCTCGAGAGCACGCCCGAGCTCCCCGTCTTTGTCCTCCCCGGCGGGACGCACTGCTCCGACTACTATAAGAAGAACTGGGAGGTCAACGTCGATGCAAGGCGTATCGCATACGAGGAGACGGCCATCATCAAGCTCTGGACCGACCAGTTTTACCTGGAGAATCCGCACCACGGCAAGGGGAAATGGTAATGACGGGCATCTTCTGGTGAATGACGATGCCTCTTGGATGATAGATATCGAACTCTCATGTATATACCATCTCATTCGGATCATAAGAACAAACAAACGGAAAACTGCGATGCCAGCCGTCAGTGAATCGCCGACGGTGTCACCAGTTGCCTCACAGCCGTCACGGTCAACGGCAGGTGCCACCCCCTTCTCAGCGGCTCTTTCCTTTCTTGAGAAACAAAAACCAGATATGCCCAATCACGCGAATTCCTCGCCTTTCACTCTGACATCCAAGTGATTCCATCTTCTTCTCTTGGCGTTGAAACCTTCACCATTCACTTCACTTTTTCCATTCCTTTCCCAGTCTCTTTTTTTATATCCCCCCATCTGAGAACTACATCTCTCTCTCTCTCTCTCTCTCTCTGCCAAAATAGCGCCTCACGCCTCACCTTCGTTTCTTATACCTCTTTCTCCACGTCAGCATCTTCCTCAGGCTCGGCAAGCACAGAATGTTGATCAGCAAGATCGTCTGGGCTACCAGCCTCGCCCTCGGGGTGAAGGCATCCCTTGACCACTGCGATGGTCCTCGCAGAGATGAGCGTAAGCACACCACATGAATCACTCTTCTGTCAAAGCGCAGGATCTTGCTGACAATGATCGCAAACACACAGATTGCCCCCCTGACACTGCTTTCGCCGAGGCCAGGTCCTTCAACTTTGCTACCACCTCCCTCGAGGACGCCAGACGCCTCTGGTCCGTCGACGACACCGACCAGCACGGTGACGAGAAAGGCATCGCCGCTCTGGGTAGAGACGACAAGGGTATCCTTCTCGCCATCAAGAAGCAGGGCGAGGGCACCGCCCTCTCGAGCAACAGGTATCTCCTCTTTGGCAAGACGACGGTCGAAGTCCAGGGTGCCCCAGGCCCAGGTCTCATCACGGCCATTGGACTCAGGTCCGACACGGGCAATCGGATTCTCTGGGTACGCTAACCCTCCACTCTTCATTCCTTCTCTACCCCCCACTCCCTTACTTCATAATGCCTGCCTCCTCCCCCCGCCCCTTTCCCAGATCACCGGCTAACACTACACACAGGAAATCCTCGGCGCCAATGACCACCAAGTCCAGACCAACTACTTCTATGACGATGAGCCAGTCTACAACACATACAATTACACGTACCCCACCCAGCTCCCCGTGACTGACCAGTTCCACAACTACACCATCCAGTGGACCGACAAGACGCTCGCCTTCTCCATCGACGGCGAGCACCGCAAGACCATGACCCTCGACGAGGACCTGTCTGCTGAGATCTGGCCCCAGGTCCCCATGCACATCTTCCTCCGCATCTGGACCGTCAACGGTAACGATGACCCCGGTCGCGTCGCCTGGGCCGGCGGTCTGCCTCAGTGGGGGCACTCCCCCTTTGCCGCCTACGTCCGCCGCGTCGAGATTGAAGACTACGCGGGCTACTGCAAAACCATCCACAACGGGCCGGTGACGTATGACTACGACGCCAACCTCACAGGATGGGAGGACATCCATGTTCAGGGCTGTCAGGAGACGTCGTCTCTGGATGGTACCCACGAGAACCACGTCCCCACCAAGAATGTGACTGACTTCCTTGTCCCGACCAAGACCTCCGGCGACGGTTCGCACTCTTCCCTTCCCAGCAGCACTAACGGGTCTGCGCCCCCCAAGTCTGATGACAATGAGGATGGCGTCGTTCAGATCGGACCAGGCCGTAGCCGGTCTTACCTTGTCACTCTGGCCATATGTCTCGCCTTTATGCTGTGACAAGGTCTCCTTGTTCTACAGGTATGACAAGAATTAGCAGCCGTGATAGCAAAAAGGTGCTTTGGAGTGGTGGTAGTTTACGACACGATGAGTCAAGGTTGCTTTGTATTTTAGTCGCTATACCCAAATGAACTGCTTTATTTGCTCTCTTTTTTTTTCTCTTTTTCAATTTACTGGGACTAGTCTTGTCATTGCATCACCTTGTTCTTCAGTACATGACGACGTCGATGTAATTTGTTATTACAAATGATCAGTTGCCCTC